CATCTGATAAAAAGAAATTGCAATCAATATCAGTCCAGTATTAATATTTTTCTTCTAGTGCTGTAGTCATTGCATTTTTTTTTTTTCCTCCTTTCATTAAACGTTTTATTATTTTGTTCTTTATGCCTCACATTACTCTATTGTTATTAATTTCAGTACATAGTTTTTTACCTTGCTTGGTTAATATTTGAATATATAAATAAAATAATAAATTCTTGTAGAAAGAAAAATAAAAAATTTTTTCGTCAAAAACATTCAAAAATATTCAGTAAAATTTAAGTAAAACTAATAAAATGAAGAAAAAATAAAATTCGGTAAAATAAAATTAAAATAAGAGAAAAAAGAAAATTTTAGTAAATTTAGAAATAATTATGAATGTCTCGTGATATTTTTCAATTTATCATGATATCACAATTATCAAGAAAAAAAGGTGATAGACTCCTTCGAAATAAGAACTGGTTTCCTTCAAAGTTGTGCCCTTTTCCCTACAATATTCAACTATGCGATAGACTGGATAATGGACACCGCTTCTCTGCACTCAAGAGGTGCCCAAATTATTCTAATCTTGAATACGCTGATGATATCCTTTTTGCTGACAGTTATAACGAAATGCAAGTAATGCAAGTAATGTAAATAACGTGTCAGAAACTGCAGAAAGAATAGGACTCAGGATCAATGTAAATAAAACGAAAGCGTTTTCGTCTTATGTAAAAAAAGCTGATAAAATGCCTCTTTTTATAAATTCATTACCACCGGTTTAGGAAGTGCCCGATTTTTAATACCGAAATCACCATAAAAACGAAAACCGGCATCTATATAGCCGTGATTCGTTCAATCTTGCTATATGGTTGCTAGACATGACCAATGAGAGTGGAGGATATCAATTATTAACCCTTTGACCACTCATATCTAAGATACATTTTACTGGTCCGTCGAGCGAATAAAATATACATGATCTCACCCACCTTCCTTCAAATATCACTTGCACTAATAATGTTATCACAGAACGTCACCTTCGCTGGTTAGGGTATATTCTCCGTCGTCCACCATTAGAGTTGACGCATATTTCGTTTCTTGTTAAACCCGCGTCAAAAGCGAGGTGGGCCAATCAAGACCTAGATTGATACGGTCAAAAAAGATTTTAAATGGTTAGAAAATATAGGTGGACCAGCAATATATGGATTTAGATGGCTTCTATTGCTGTCATCAGACGATGGCATCAGACCACTTAGAGGTAATATTTTTTTTTTCATGTAATATATCTCGTATTTTCTTGATGGTTCATATAATAAAAAATATTGGTAAAAAAGGAGCCTTAAATCTTAATTGATTTTCAACTGTTAACAAAGTCGATAGAATTTAATAAAGTAGATAATTAGCGTTTACCACCATCAATCCTAATAATGCCAACTGCCTCTTAGCATTTTTTTTAGTCAAAAATTTTAGCAAGGGGTTTGGCGATAGAAACACAGATGAGGCGCCAACAACTTATTTTTAAATGAAGTTTTACCCTTGCGAGGATCAAAGTATTATATATGCATATAAGTGTAAATTAACTGCGTCCAAATAAAATCTTTGGAATTATAAAATAATATGGCGTTGGCATTGCTAATGAACCGTTCCACAAAAATTTAAAGAACAACTTCCCCACATTACTCGCAAACTTTAATCTTCATTCATTCGCACCTTTATCTCGGAAATGAATTCAATGTTTTTTATTTGCGTATTTCAGTATTAAATTTCCATATGTCACTGGCAAATTATTTCGATATAAATATTCTGCTGCTTTATTTAAGAAGCAATTTACAACTGCTATTAAGTTTAATGAATGCAATTGCCTCGATGTTGAATAATTGGATTCGTCGTAGAAATTCTCATTAAAATTTGACATTTTTAAAATAAATTTTTCTTGAATTCAAGAAAAAAATAAGGACGAATGTATGGAAACGATAATTAAGCAAGCGTTTTGAAACTTTTTCATAATTCATCTATTGCCATAAAGATTGAAAAAAATTACATAAAAAGATGGATCATTCTTTCGGAGAAAGTCATGCAGAAATTTTGGTTGTTTCCAACACAAACTTGTATTACGCTATAGTGAGCAATTCGTTTTAAATTCTCTCACCTTTATCACTAAGAATCATTCAAATTGCATTCGTATGAGGTTAACTACCTTGCTTGGTTTTTTTTCGTATAGCTAGTTTCATTTACTTTGCTAAAATAGAAATCTTACTTAATTTGCGCATATATTAGGAAGACATTCTGATAAATTTCTGGTAAAGCTTCGTAAAAGTCACAAAAGATCCTTTAAATTTTCTTATTATAATGAATTCTTCTGTTATTGTCATTGACTCAATCATCTGTCCCTTTGCCCACAAGCTTTCCTAAAGAAAGGCTCTTAGAATAATTAATGTCTTAACTAGAAGAATTTCTTTTTCAGAAAATTTATTTTTTTAAAAGATATTGCTAAAAGCCTTTCGTAATGCTTCCTTTGAACTTATTTCACCATTCGCTTAGAATTTTGATGTTTCCTTATAGTACTTCCTTATATCCTGGGTTAACGTGTAACACCATTCGAATTAAATTATCCGTAAAATATTTACTATTTTTTTTCATAAGACAATAATGAAAGCGATTCCATTGAAAATTTCATGCATCGAAGCATATTTCAGAAAAAATTTCATCTAATACGACTATAAGGTGGTGGTGCAACCTTATGACAATTTTTTTAAAATGCTAATTTCGTTAATTCTATAAAATTTATGTTTGGCTGATTCTTATTATAGCAATGTTTGAAAACAATTTAAATTTATCTCATTTACCATTTTTTTTCGCAGAAGTCCAATTGAAGTCCAATTGCTGAATTTAGGTGATTTTATTCATTTATCTCAGTAACTGCCGATGACAGCTGCATTACCATTTATCTTGCAAAAAATGGTAGCAGAGCAAAAAGATCCTTTTTTAAATTCTATCCTATGTTTCTATCGTCAAGGGACTCTCTGGCATATTTGTCCAATGCGACAAGTCAGCGGAGTGAGTTTAAATAGTAATGGTGAGGATCCTTGAAAAAAAGAAGAGTGGTTAGCGCCCATCATTTCTGATTAGGCTAGCACTATTTGGAAATTTCTGCGAAGAGATCACTTGGTGCAGCCATGCCGCCAGCATCAGTTCAATTTTTTAATGATGAGTATATTTTTAACAAGAGCGAAAGCTGAACGAACCTTTCGATCTAAATATGGTGATCTCAATTGCTACTGTGCTCCATATTATTAACACCTATTTCTGTTCTTTGTTTTCAATTGATCATACAATGTTTAATTTTGCCTATGAAAATATTTTCATTTTTAAATTTTAAAAAGTCGATTCGACTCGATTATAATTTTTTATCTTTCTTAAATTCACTTCTACCATTTATTAATTTATTGAATTTGCAAATTCTCCTAAATCTTTATTAAAAATTCATCAGCGGAAATTCGGCGATAGTTAAATTGAATCATCGAAATGAAAAAGCGAATTTATTTCGAGAATTTCAATCGCCTTCACATACATACATTGATAAATTTAAATTTATTCGTTGTGAATTTTTCGAGTTTTATCTTCTTTTAATAAAATATCTTCTCTTTTCATTTCTTATTTTTCATTTTTCATTTATTCTGATGCAATAAAATCTCTTTTGAAATTTTTGTTGAAAATTTGTAAGAGCGATTTTGAGAAAAAATCTAAGCCATTTAACATTGTTATTGCTTTCAAGTCATTTATAAATATTTATCTGAAGAATATTTATCAAGGATGATGCTGGGATTCATCTGTGCTTCTATCGTCTCTGACATATTTGTCTATGCGATAAGCCTTACTTACTTATTTCCTATTTATTTCTTTCAAATTGCTTAGTGCAAAAACAGGTGAATAAAAGTCCAGCTCAAAGCGATAAAACAAAAAGGCAATTTAGATATTTAGAGTTATAATTAATAATTTTACTAAAAGATTGCTGTTCTTGCTACCCTCATAATATCTTTTTAGCTAGAAAGCGACCATATAATAAGTTCATAAAAAAATTCCCGACTGGGGAATAAATATATCGTTGAAAAATCCGATTGTCTACCTACATAACTGAACTTCTATCCAAGTGATAACCTCACTAACTGCTTAAGTCGAATTATTATTAAATTCTTTGGCTAAATTAGCTATTCTTGAAAAAATAAATATTTTCAACATTTCTTGTCAATAACTTAAAATATTTTTCAATAACATGAATAAAATATTTAAAATATTGCTTTATTAAATTTTAAATATCGTTACATTCCGAAGTTTTCCACTTTCCAGTCTGTTTTTGCACTTCAAATAAATAAAAAAATTTAAAAAAGATTTTCTCGATTTCTAAAATTTATTTTATTATAATGCAATAATATTGTTATTATAATTGTAATAATATAATTGTAACAATTTTTTTGTTGCGAAAAGGATATCATTCAAAAAGTGAAATACAGCGAATTTTTGATCGATTTCAAAAATCGTCAAATGTTAAATGGAAAATGCATGCAACATGCAACGAATTAAACTGCTATGAAAAGAGAGATAAAATTTTAGGCTAAGAATAAATGAAATTTTCCACTGAATATTGGATTAAATAAGAAATTTAAAATAGCAAACATTTACAATTTAAAATTTTCATGGCACCCATCGTTTCGTTTTTTTCGTTCCATTGTAATGACGACTAATAAGTTTTAAAGATTTTTGATATTTGTACAAATTTCGATGGAAAATGCATTTACATAAGATTTTGGATGAAAACCGTAATAAAAGTGAAACTTATTTCTAAAAAAAATGTATTCAATGCTTGCAATAACGACTCAGTTAATAGCAAACATAAAAGCACTTGATCAGGTTTGCGAATTTTTTTTGCGAATTTTTTTTAATCCACTGATTTTCCTGCAGAATTCCACCTATTATTATTATAGCAAATAGCCAATGATTCGGTTTATTTATTCCAAGAAGAACCAATTAGACAACTAAGAATATCTGGTGATATAATTATTGGTGGAGTGTTTCCAGTGCATGCTAAGCCAGATTCGCCTGATCAGATATGTGGCCCGATCGCTGAAACGAGGTTTTATTTCTGATATGATATAATCGAATAACATATGATATGCAGGGAAATTGCTGAATTTTGAGTTTTAAAAAAATGTATTACAAGTATAAAATTAAATTTGCGAGCAACTATTAGTAAAATACCATTTAGTTGTTAACAAGCGTTTTAGGAATAAAAAGCGTTGATTTCTAATTTTTGCAGAAATGGTAAAACATGAAAAGATTCAGCACCAAAAATTTCCATTTCCATTTTTATATTTTAGCAATTCTATTCTATAAATGGAAAAGCGCATATTTGACATAATTATTTGAAGAATATATTCGTTTAATGAAATATTTACTATCAAAATTTCATTTCTTGATGAATTAAATATTTCAGAGGAATTCATAGAGTCGAAGCAATGCTATATGCTCTTGACATTATTAATTCGCGAAAGGATTTTCTCCGTGGTTACAAATTGGTTAGATATTTTTCAAAAAAAGCAATTTTCCTAAAGAATAAAAGCATAAAAATGATTTTAGTTTAAAATATAAATGTTATTGACGAACTCAAAACTGAAAATTGCCAAAAAAAATTTTAATGGAATATCATAATAATTTAGCGAAAGTCTAATTTGGCTCCGATAAATAATCCTAAAATGAGAAATTATGGCAACCAAATTTTGGCATATTTAAATCTTTCGAAACGATTTTATAAATAAATTTTCTCAATTTCGAATAGATAGGCTGGCTTGGTTGATTCAAAATCTTAATGGATAATTTGACACATTTTCTGAAATAATTGATTCTGAAATAAATGGCAACACATTATCGCAATAATAATTAATTTGATTTCAGTTGCAAATTTAAAATAGAGGCAAAGATAAGATAAGAAAATTCTGCATTTAGAATTTAGAATCAAAATCTTTTTTTTCGATTTTTCTCGTCGAAAATTTCGAAATTCCTTAACAAAGAATTGAATTTTGCAATAAAAGTTTAATATAGTTAATATATACATATTCATTAAATTTTAATTTCAATATTTTTATAATTCATACGTTTTTGATGCATTCATGCTTGTTGTTTACTTTATTTGCGTTCTTATTTTTTGAAAAAGATTTTTATAAAAGTGTAATTAAAAGCATATAACATGCGAGAATAAATTAAAAAGTACTTTTATATGTTAGAAATAAAAAAAAAATACTAAAATAAGAATAATTCATTTTCTGGAATAAGTAGCCATGTATTACCGCGCAAATTTAACCTAGTATCGAGCACCTTTACCAAACTTTTATACTTTATGTGCTATTAATGTTTGAACTGTTAGTTGTTGTTGCTGCTATCAAGTTGTGATAGTGCGAATATTAGCGATATTGATTTAACGCTATTTTCGATTGAATTTAGGGAGCGATGATATTAGATTCTTGTTCAACTCCTGCTTATGCTTTAAACCAAAGCCTTGATTTTGTGCGAGACATGATCGGATCTAGTGATCAGCATGAATACCAGTGCCCTGATGGTAGTTTACCAATAATCAAGCATATCACGCGAAAAAATGTTGCCGCTGTGGTTGGTGGTAGTTATAGTTCAGTAACAGTACAGGTATACTGCTTATTGCATATTTTTTCCATGTATTTTTCTCGTATGGATGCTTTTAAAAATATTTACTTTTATTTATAATTTCATTATTATCACATTCGACTTTTCACGCAAATAATAATTAATAATAATTTATTATCTGTTTCCAAGCAGGTCGCCAACTTACTACGATTGTTTAAAATAGCTCAAGTGAGCCCAGCGAGTACCAATGCTGATTTAAGTGATAAAAATCGATTTGAGTATTTTGCTAGGTTAGCCTATTTGCTAATTTTCAAAATCAGCAGTTCAAATACTTCAAATTCAAATAATTAGTACTTCAAATTTCTTTTCTGTTAATCCTAAAATGAATCATCGATAACAATAGTCTGATTATTATTGGATTATTCACTTAATACTAGAAATAATATTAAAGCAGCAATAATAAATAATAAAAACAATAACAATATATAATAATGTAATTAACTTATGCAATCAATCGACTTAAGACAACTATTCACTAAAAGGAATTTCCATATGTATGATATTTAAGAACCGTACCGAGTGACAATTATCAAGCAAAGGCAATGGTCGACATAGCTTTGCATTTCAATTGGAGTTATCTGTCACTGGTATATTCAGCGGATGAATATGGCGAATTAGGCGCTGAAGCGTTCAAGAAAGAAGCAAGAAAGAAGAATATATGCATAGCAACTGAGGAAAGAATATCGATGAAAAAAGAAGCATTAACTGATTCCATCGACAATTTAGTTAAAAAGCAAGCATTTTTTTTATATTTAAATTTTTTTCTAAAAGGGTTTATCACCGCTGGTTAGGCTCGCTTCTTGGCTTACTTGTGCTATGCACACTTGTTTTGCTAGGCAGTGAATAGAAGCATAAATAAATAAGCAGCATAAAAGAAATTCTCGAAGAACAGGTTTATTCTTGCCAAGCGCACGCCCGAGCATGAAGAAGTGTGCCATTATCAATTTTCGTATTCGTCATTCAGCGAAACTGTTGCTCGACAAATTATGGTGCGTCGGCTGGAATTCTAACCTGAGACATTCTAGGAACGGTGTTAAATGCTTATATTATGTTAAATGCTTATGGTTATGTTTAAAGAAGTGACAATAATGATAATGCAGTAATGGTAATGAAATTTTGAAATTTGAAGTGAATGTAAATATAGAAGTGAATATTAATACTAAGTTATCAGATACATTCTATCACCCTATATCTGTGTTATTCACCTTATTTGGTTTGCGATTTCATTAATAAATTTTTTTTGCATAAAAAGCTGGAGTCTTAAAAATAATTTATTTGAGACTGCAACCTGATAAAACTGTCGGAGCCAGAGTGGTTGTTCTTTTTGTTGGTACTGAATACGTTCCTGAATTGATGTTTCAGACGTCAGTTCGTATGAATTTGAATCATAGAAACAAGGAAAAGAAAATAATATGGTAAGATTAAAAATGATCTGATTCCGTTATAGGAAGACATAAAAAAAGAATTGCCTTACGAGAATAAGCAGAATTTTTCAAACTTTATCGTACGCCTTGATATTTGCTCATGATGGAGAAATTTTTATGGCTTTGATACCACCGTTGATACTGATATTGTGGTTTAATATTTTGATACAGTGGTGGTTGCGATAATTTAACACTAAGTTAGACAGAGTTATCGAGGAGATAAAACTGGATCTGAAAGGATCATAGCGGTGAAGAAGTTGAAAATGATGTTGCTAGGAGCAAAATAGCGCAGAGGATTAGTGGACTTTGAAAATTCTAAGAGGAAGAGAGGAAGAAATGCCTGTTGAAAACCAGTATTAATTAATAACAACAGTTAAAATAACAAATAACAAAAATTAATGACAAAAACAAAAAATAATAAAATAAAATATAGCTTTAACAATTTAAGGATGAAATAAAGTGGAAATTACAAAATAATATAATACAATTCGAAATAACTATTATTGGATGGTAAAATCGAGATCATCCTTCCTGCTTGATGTGAACTTTTTAAATAATATCATAAATGATATTATCTATTTTTTTTTAAAGATAGCTAGGGATGGCGCACAAAACTATATCGTTCGATAATTTATTCCAGTAATTGATAGTACGAATAAAGAAGACATGCGTTCTTAATTTAGTTTTACACATAGGTTCTAGTAATTAGCCCCTTAGTTTTTGTTGGATTCAAATTTAGCCTGAAATTATAATATTTTGACAATCTAAAATCTAGTTTAACATAACCATACAGAATTTTATAAGTATAAATTAAATGTGTTTAATAGACGAACTAGCAGGGAATCCAGTTTATACTGTAGAAATTTTCTTTTATAGTTGAAATTGCAATTAGAGGCGCCGTGTAAAATATTTTTGGAGTCCTTCAATTATTTTACTTGATTTACGATATCTCGGGAAGTAACATGTAGTATTGTAATCAAGAAGTGGCCGAACGAACGCTTTATGCATTTTGATAAGGAAATCTTCAGTTTTATTCTTAAACGAACGAAAAATAAAATAAAAAATATTAGTGGATAAAAAAGTGAGGAAAGAAATTTGCCGCAACGTATAAGAAATTTTAAGTTCACAGTCAGTCTTGAAAGAAAGAGAAAATTGATAGGATGAGAAAGTTGATAGGATGAAGAAAGTTGATAGGAAAAAGCTTAAGTGGAAGCGGCATAGTGGTTTTAACAGGATCAGTCAAGCGTGCCTAAAAGGCTAAAATCAAAAGAGATATTAGGAATTTTATGGCAATGTTTCCAATAATGTAGATAAAAGAGGTTTAGTAGAGCAATGCAGCGGAATTTTAAAAAGAGTTAAAAGAGAAATATAATAGGCTCGAATTATATGGGATCAATGTTGACTGTAGGCAAAATTTTAAGAAAACTATTCAAATTGAAGAAGAATTGAAGGGAAAGAATTTGAAATAAATATTTTGGATAGAGTTAAAGAGGATTAATCAGAAAGGATATTTAATGGAGGTTGAAGTTAAGAAAAAATCTAACGGATTATTAAGGAAATAGATGAGTTTTTCCGTGCAAACGCACATATAAATGCTGAAACAATAAATTTTTGTATGGATGGAATTATGAAATTATTGCATTGATAGATATATATGGTTGAAAAATTTCAAATCATTCATTTAATATATTGGAGAATAATTCATTTATTTGGCTCATTGAGGATTTCGTTATTCTTTACGATTTCGTTATTGGTCCTCCAGCCATTTCTTCAATTCGCGCGAGGGACAAAATAAAGAAATTTATTAAAAAAGTTCTTAAATATATTTAGGTTAGCGAGCGAAGGATGGGATCGTAATAATGATGCATATACTATAAAAAAACGAAAATATGCAGCCGATGGAGCAATTGTATTGATGCTTGAATCGAAAAAAGTGCCCTCATTTGAAGAAGTAAGAAATTTTCAATTTGTTACTTTCTTATCAAATTTATCAGTTCTTAGCATCATCAGCACATAGCATATTTTTCTTGGTATTTCAACTAAGAACTTTTCCAGGATTAAAATTCAATTGGCCATAAAATTATTTTAAAAGTGAAATGAATGGAGCAAGGATAGCATCCATTCATTTTTTTTTTTCCAGAAGTTTTTACCATCATTGATTAGACTGGCATCTTTGATTAGCTGTAAGGATGGCGCAAGTATCACGGTCCGTAATATCTGAAGAAACGACAGAAGTCATCTAAGTCATGAGTCATGATCATGAGCCGCTAAGCGCTTAAAAAGTCCCCTCTTCTGGTTCTATCAATCCAAATTTCTTTAGCATTCTTCGCTTTTGGCACAATCTATAACAAAGATTAGCAAGCGGACTGATGCGTCAATTCCTGTGTTGGCTATGGTCCAACCAGCGACATTGTTGCTAATGCAGATCATTTTGAGCGAAACTGGATCTATATATATATATATATATCTTCTAACAGCTCTCACCATTACTGATTAGGCTGGCTCCAACGGCTACAAGGGTAAGACGCTTCCAAGCGGCGCGGTCTGATGTCATCGTCGACAGTAATGGAAGCAATTCCTTTTTCCATCGTCTAAGTCCATATATTGCTGGTCCATCTATACGTTCAAAATCTTTTCTCATCGTATCAGTCCAGGTCTTGATTGGCCCATCTCGCTTTTGACGCCAACCGTCACACGGTTTAGCAAATAACGAAATATGCGTCAACTTCTGTGGTAGAAAACAACGGAGAATGTGCCCTAACCAGCGAAAGCGGCGTTCTGTGATAACATTATTTATGCAAGTGGTATTTGAACGAAGATAGATGCGATCTTGTGAGATTTTTTCAGTTCGACGGATCCGTAAAATGCACCTTAGACAAGAGTGGTCAAAGGTAGATAGTTTCTTAATATCTTCCACTCTCATTGGCCATGTCTCAGAACTATATAGTAAGATCGAACGGATCATGGCAATATAGATGCGGACTTTCGTTTTTATGGTGATTTCACGACGATTCCATAAAAGTTTCGTCAACCGGAAGAACGATTTCTAGCTGCCGTGATCCGAGTTACAATATCATCTTTTGCCTGTCCATTTGGTATTAGAGTGGACTAAAGATATTTGAAATCAGGCACTTCCTCAACCGGCAATGAATTTGCAAAAAGAGGCAGTTTATCAGCTTTTTGCACATAAGACGAAAAGACTTTCGTTTTTTTTACATTGATCCTGAGTCCTATTCTTGCTGCAGTTTCTGAGACGTTATTTAGTATTATTGCATTTTGTTATTTCATTTTGCATGTCAGCAAAAAAGACGATATCATCAGCGTATTCAAGATCTGTGATACGATGCTCTGGACTAATTCGGACACTTCTTGAATGCCGACAAGCAGTGTCCATTATCCAGTCTATCGCATAGTTGAATATTGTGGGGGAAAGGCGCAGCCCTGATGGGCACATGTTCTTATTTCGAAGGAATCTGCCAACTCCCCATATATACAGACCTGCGCCGACGTGCGCTCATAAAATTTGCTGAGACGTCTAGTAGGTGATTCCCAGATAATTGTCGCAGTATATCCTATCACCTTTCTTCAGAATTGGGAGCAGAATTGCTTTTCTCCGATCATCTGGTAATATTTATTTTTTCTATACCAAAGAGTACATTTGTTGAAGGTGCGTTATGAAGGACGATGGACAGCATTTGAAAAGCTCAGTCTGAAGACCATCTTCTCCTGGAGTTTTGTTGACCTTAAGCTTATGGATAACTGAAATTATTTCTTCTTCTGTTGGAGGCTCGCAATTGCAAACGTATGCTTCGGGAAATGTATCAGCTATATCAGGGGCAACAGATGGCGCTTCATGGTTAAGTTTGGCTTCAAAGAATTCTTTCCATCTTATAAGGCGATCCTTAATACTTTTAATTAGTACGCCATTGCTGTCTCTTACCATTTCACTGATCATTCCCCGAATTATAGTGCTTTATGAAGAAGGTGAAATAGTTTCCTATTGTCGCCTAATCAAGCCGCAGCCTCCATTCTTGAGGCCATGTCACTCCAATAGTGATTTCTATCCCGCCTTACTGCTTTCGTTGCAAATCTTCGAAGCACCAGGATCACCTGACATTCGTGCTTTGGCAGCTTTTTCAGACAATTGGACAGTTGCTTCCGAACCACAACATGGCTAGATCCATGAAGATTGCCTGTTTCAGGAACGACTTTCTAGTACGGAACTCTTCCAAGGCGACTGACTAAGATATAATCAATCTGGTTGAAGTGTTGGTTGTCCGGAGAGTTCCACGTGACTAGATGTTTTCTATGATGACGGAAACAAGTAGGTTTACATATACATATACTTTAGGCAAAAATTATCGAAGTAAACAGTTTCTACAAGTAAATAGTTTCTGATTCTTTCACTAAGTGGGCAAGTTTCACATATTGCATCAATGTGCAGGTAAACTGATGGCGGCGATTCAACATATTTCGCAATACTTATTGTTGCTGCTTGACTGGAATTTCGCTTGATCAGTTTATATGTGTGAAGATATTTTATTTTAATAAGATATAATAAGATATAAATGATATTTAATGGTCTCAATGGGTAATCAGTTAACAAAAAGAATCTGGCATGTAAAACGGAAAGATTTTCCTCTTATGCATATTGATTTGGAGATTTTCACTACAGTTATCGATGTGCGATTCAGTACAGTTCTTTATGACTGTCAGGAAAGTCAGGAAAATTTCCAGGGTACTTACTCCTTGGGGATTGAGCAGAATTACAACAGTTACTGGTATCATTTGATCCTTAAATACTGGTAGTTAGCAAAATGTGGTTAAGTTTGGTCTCAAAAAGCTCCCTCTTTACCCTCTAGACGTCTTTGAAAGCACACGACCATTTCATGAATTATGACTGCTTCATGAAGAAGGCGAAATAGTTTCTGATCATCGCCTATTTAAGTTACATATTTCCATATTCATATCCATATATATCTTTATAATAAATATGAGTAAGCTTGGCTTTATATCACTCAAGTAAGGGATTTATAGTCCTTTCTGTCGCTATTATTACATTCATTTCTTGTATTTTATTGTACTGTTTCAATTTCTTTAATTGTTGCCGTATTTGAAATTTCCCCAATCTACGAATTTTATTTTAGTACTTTCTTTCTTTGCATCCGAATGACGAAAATTTCAAAAGAAATAGTTGGCTCAAAGAGTTGTGGAACCAAAAATTTTTCTGCGAATTTGATCTACCAATAGACAGTAAGAAAAATCGGTAAATTTCAAGTAATAATTAAAATAAATCAACATTTGGCCTAAATTTATTGTTAAATCTCCTTATAAAGTATTCAATCAAATTGGCATTTAGAACAAAAAAATTAGGATTTTCCAATGCCGCATTTATTATAAATGCGAGTAAGCTTGGCTATAATCCACATCCATCTCCCACAACCTTATGAAATTCTATTCTATGTATGCTGATATTAATCGGGATAAAGCCAGTAAAAAAGCCAGAATTGGCAGGCTTTTTATAGAACATGATACGTTGAACTTTTTAGTGCCCCCAGAAACTCATTACAAATGTCTTATCTCGACTAATTTGTTAATCTGTTAATTATTTTCATAAATTATTTGTTATTTGGAATAAATTATTAGTTGCGAAAATTATAAACAAAGTCGAGAGAATTTCAATGCCGACGATAAAGTGGAGTTTGTTATTGATGCTGTTTTCGCAATTGCTCATGGATTAAAGGTAACATGGCTTTCAAGAGTTCAAGGATTCGGAAATTTCGTCTAAAATTTAAGTAGTATTATAATTACTGGCAAATATGCATGAATTTAGGCAATGAAAGAAGCTGCTTGTCCAAATGATTCAATAGCAACGTCCTGGATATCAAGGCATTCGAAAATGCCCGAAGTTTGCCCATCGTTGAAAAAAATTGATGGGGAAGAATTTTATAAAAAATACTTGCTTCATGTCAAATTTGAAATTAAGTTTTTAATCAAAAAAATTCTTGATTTATTAAGTTGGTTGTTATGCAGTAAATATTTCTTTCATCTGTTAATTACCCAAAAATTTCGACGAAAAAAAATTTATCACAATTTTATTAATCGAATTCGGTTGAATTTGAGTTTTTTTTCAGATCTAGTCGGCAAAAAATTTCATTTTAGTGCCGAAGGCGATGGGCCAGCTCATTATACCATTTTGAATTATCAACCGAGAGATCTGTATGAAAGGTGCTGAATTTCGCGCATCAGCGCTAAATAAAATTTCAAACAAAATTAAAATAATAAATAAAATTTTAATCTATCAAACTGAAACAAGGACTACTTGGAATAAAATGAAAAATGAAAAAAAGTTTATTGCTATTAGTTAAGTTTGTTCATAAATTTCAAATCTCCCAATCGCCCAGCTTTGAAATATTTCTGAATTCCCTAGCCTCTGATTTCGATGAAAAAAGTCGATGAAATGATAATTTTTTATAGCAGTAATAAAAAGCGAAATAAATATGAGAAGGAAACGAGGACTAGTGACTACGTGGTTGTTGGCAGATGGTCTGAAGATCAGGTAAAGATTTTAAGATCAAATTTTTTTCCGAATGAATAGTTATTACGCTTTTGTGAAACTATTTCTAAGGTTAGGACAGATAATTTTAACCATTAGTTGGTTGATTAATTTAGCGCTAACCGTTCTCCTATTATTATCAAATTGTATGGATTCAGCAAAAAATTACGATCTCATTTGACACTTGCAACAACCTATTGCACACAAAGCGAACATTTGCCTTCTTTCTAAGGAAATCTAAAAAAATATATATATATATAAGGAAATATAAATATAAAATATATATAAATATAAAAATTATACTTAACTTGTTCAGTTACAACTGAATGATAAAAAAATGTTTTGGGGTAGTAATAACATTCCATTATCAGTATGCAGTCTTCCGTGTCCAGTTGGCTATAGAAAACAATTGATAAAGGTATTTTTTGATTTCCATTTTTTTAAAAAAGTTTTCCAGTGAATTGTTTAAAATTGATTATAATTGATTATTTTTTTATATCGACCTGTTCAAAATTATAGGGGATTTATTGTTTTTGAATGCAATATTCGAGTAGAATTTTTATTTTCTACAATCGGTCAATTAATTATAGGACGAAATATGTTGTTGGGCATGTGGAAAGTGCGAAGAATATGAATATTTGATAAATGAGACAACATGTGTTGACTGTGGCGAAGGCTGGTGGCCAACTCCTAATCGTAAAGATTGTTATGACATTGCTGTCATAAATCTACAGTATATGCAGTGGTCGTCATGGTAATTGATCAGTCGATCTTAAAATTTTTTTAAAATTTTTCATTTTAGGGATTTATCTCTCGAAAAAGTTATTTTCTGAATGATGAGAAAAAATGATCCAAAAAAGAATCTATTATTGAGCAAAAAATTAGAATCAAGAGGATTCAAATTTTCTTTGTGTAAATTGCCTACTTAGCAGGAGTAAACTTGTCCTAAAATCCGAGTGGTGCTGGCGACTCACCCACACTTTTATCGCCGAGAGACTCCTTGGCATATTTGTCTGTTGACAAGCCAGAGGAACGAGTCTAACCAGTAATAATGAGTGATCTTAAAAAAATACCTGCATATAGAACTGATGAAAAATGTAACTTAGGTATTCAATTGTTCCATCGTTATTTGCAATAATAGGAATTTGTTCGACCATTGCAGTAATCATCATTTATTTAAGGTTGGACATTTATTTAAGGTAGTCAGGGTTGGTAGGATTTTAATTTATTTAGCAAATAAAAATGGTTTTAATTAGGCTCATATTATCAACCTTTTTTCAATCGTTGTTTTTAAAAGAAAAGAAATAATGAAGAAATCCATTAAGAAGTTATGGTTTTATTAAATTATTAGGTCAATTTTCAATTTAAAAGATATCAAAAAATTCCAGATATTATGAAACCCCAGTTGTGAAAGCTTCGGGTCGAGAACTGAGTTTTATATTATTAATCGCTATGATTTTATGTTATTTAATGACTTTTGTTCTATTAGCCAGGCCTAGCACGGTGGTTTGTGCAGTAAAAAGAACTGGTCGGTCATTTTTATTTTTTTTACCAATTTTTTAATTTATGCGTCATTAATATTTTCTTTAATGAACGGATGGCTTTAAGGAATTGGATTTGCTTTTTCGTGCCTTTATGCTGGTATGTTAATTAAAACAAATAGGATATCACGGATATTTTCACATCGTTCTATTCGAAGACCATTATTTATTTCACCTATATCCCAAGTGATGCTTACGCTTTCATTAGTTGGTTTTCAACTTTTGGGATCCCTTATTTGGTTATTCTTAGTGCCACCAGGTAATAATAATAACATATATATATCTTATAAATAATTAGCTACAATTTTTCAAAATTTGCAATTTTTTTAAGCAGAAAGCATAATTCTTTATTGATTGTGATTGTTGTGGAGTTTAACTCAACGTTTTTGTAGAAATTAGTGGAAGAAAGCGATTTCGAAATGACATTAATTGTAGAAAATTCAAATTTATTAGATTATATTCAATTTTTATTAAATTTTATTTTAAATTATTTCATAGTTATATTAAATTATATTAAATTTTAAATTATATTCAATTTTTTATTTATTTATTACTGTTCTCTATTTGCATGGAGATTATTGGTCATTAAATAACATTAGCCAACATCATCCAGCAAACTTCTATTAAGAAGAAAACTGTAGAAAAGATTTAAGGTATAAGGCACGATTATCCAAGCAGGGACCAAGTTGTCCTGACCTGCAATGTACCCGAACATCATTTTCTATATTCATTAGCCTATAACGCCGCACTCATCGTATTATGTACGATATATGCAGTAAAAACAAGGAAAGTACCGGAAAACTTTAATGAAACTAAATTTATTGGCTTCAGTATGTATACAACATGTGTTATCTGGCTTTCCTGGATATTTTTTTTCTTCGGCACTGGGAATAAATTTCAGGTACCACCTCTTCATTTTCTCGAGATAAAAAGAGAACAAATTCATCCACTTATTAGAAAATGAGACCAAAATACCCGTCTAGCATTTTAATTTAATCTTTGATCATTATTAAACAAACTCAGATTCAAACTACTTCATTATGTATATCAATTTCTATGTCAGCAAATGTGGCATTGATTTGCATTTTCTCACCAAAAATTTGGATAATTTTATTTGAAAAACATAAAAATGTGCGTAAACAAGGCGGCGAACAATTGTTTTCCAAAAGGTTTATTTCATTTTACCAATTTCCCTTATAAAAAAAAAATTTGTAAATGAAAAATTAATTGAAGCAAGAAAGCCAAAATTACTTTTTTTATTTCCCTCGAAATTATTTTCAATTAATTTTTCTTTCATTTAGTATTAAATTAAATTGATTTCATTGTTTGCGGCATTAAGAATTTAATTAAAAGCGAAATTTTCTAATCATTACCATAGGAATTATACAAGCAAAATTCGTCATCAAAGCGAGCTTAACCTTGTTAAGAGATAAGATAGCCGAGTGGACAGTCAGTCACTCCGAACCGAGCTCAGAAGTCAATTTTTTGATTCCAGTTCCCCATGGGAACAAATTTTATTAAAAGAGCCAGGTTGTGCTGACGATCAAATGCATTTCTATCATTAGAATCTAAAAATGGCGATCACTGATTATTGTAAATTTTTATCCATGAAAATAGAGAAACTTTCAGAGGTTATAGCACAACTGGAAATGATTATGTGGCAGTATCACAACATATGGCCTTATTGACCGATTCTAAACGACATGCATCACACCAAAGTACTTCATCATCCGGAAATGATATCTTTTTATGATCAAGCAGGGTGACAAAGATTTACGATAAAAGAGAGAAGAAGCAGAAAGGATGTGGGAAAGTGGAACCAGATGAAGCTAGAAAACTTACGAAGAACATGCCATCACTTAACATGATATATCACTTAATTTTTGGCCACATTACATTGTAATTCGCAAAATATTTATTTTTATAGACAATTATCATCAATATAATACAAAAATTCTAAGACCGAAAAAATAATTTCGAATTATAGGACGAAATTCCCATTTAATAATACAACAAATGGATATAACGGATATTAGTTTAAGCCAAAAATTTCAATTGTTACAAGTGCTATATAGCTCTTCGTGCAAATTATTTAAACCACCTGAATTACTTAAATTTTTTTAAGGCATTCACCATAACCATTTAAATATTTGAAAATGCTTTAAAAAAACAGAAAAACCAAGAAACACAATTGGATAAAATAATTTTATATTCACAATGATCCAAAATCGTGCCAGTAACAATCGCCATTAATATCAATTTTATACTCAAATAAATGAAGGAAATCCACAACGCACGCAGAAAAGGACCATAAAATCTTGCTTAATCTTGCGACTATTTCAGTTACCCTACAATCCGTCAGATCGATGTAATATTTAATATTTAAGCTTATTATTAAGAATTAATTCTGCATTACTTTTTCGACCTTCTAATTTTTTTGCCACAATTAAACAGAAATTTATATGCGAATGAAATTCACGAATTCATAAGTTGTTTTAAACTATGAGTGATCAAAATTAAAAAGTTGTATTAAAAAGTTAAATGGCATCGCCTACCACAGCCGTCAAGATTTATCTCGTCATTTCCTATGCCCTGTTACTGATAGCATCAAAAGCAAGGGAGCCAATTAAGACTTGGAGTGGTGCAGCAAAGACTTTGACTTTGAACGTACAGGTAGACCGACCGAAGATACATGGTCTTCTTATACGACGGAAAAATGAATGCCTGTCTATTGTTGCATCACCACTTTTAATATTATGAGAGATGGCACATCGGAGGAACAACTTGGAAACGCCTCGCCCAGCAGTCAATTAACTAGTATGATGAGATGTGTTGGAAGAAAAATCGAAAAATGGCAATTCGCTTCATGCTTTATTGCTATATTAAGTTAAAACAAATGGTTAAAATAATTTTTATTTATACAAATCCGAATTTTGCAAAATAAGAATCGCGCTCAGCGCGAATAATCACAAATGTATTTCCTTTGACTCGAAAAAGCAGTCAAATACGGATAAGCATTCGAGGAACTATCTTACAGCATGTACCATCCCGCTGGATGAATAGTTTTATAGAAAAAAAAAACTAGTAACGTATCCACAATAATGAAGAAGGTAATGAAGATGTAAACCATAATTTAATGAAAAAAAATCATTAAGGAAATGCAGGACAAATTTTCATACATTTCATTTACAATACATCTGCAATTATTTTTACCCGTAAACATTCAAGATTTCACCTGACATCCTTTATGCACCAATAAGCATGACAAGATATCTCAAGCTACTTCCATTTGATCACATAAAATGAATTTATTCATCGCTAAATCAGATTTTTTTCGACTCACGAATAATTACCAAAAAAGCTGTTGGCACTGGTTCGGTGGCTCGAAATAACTCATTAAATATGAAAAATGTTGGTTCAGATAATTCGGAGATCTCTAACATATACAGGAAAACACACAAACTCTTATCAAAAAAAATGGAATAAAAAAATTGAACGTTTCACTGAGATCAAAATTTCCCATCAGAATGACGGCGATTAAAGTGGTTATGAAATCACGAATCCACTTAGACTTTTCCCATCAAAAAGATTTAAGGCATTCAAAATTTCCATTAAAAAAATGAAACAAAATCTATAAAGTACAAATTACAAAAAAAGAAATTTTCACAGTAGTAAGAAAAGATTAGAAACTAAATATGCCTAGACATGGCATCCAATGTATAGCCGAATAACCATGAACAATGCAAAGAATTGGCTAACTGACCCGTATACAAGAAAAAAGTGTAATAAGCAAAACATTCATTAATCAGCAAATCCTTTCAATTTTTTTTGATTCCTGTTTTCCATCATTATGTCTGTTACATAATTCATTTGCAGAATCACAAAACAATTTCAAACTAATATTCGACAAGTGAGCATTGATGCGCATTGATTGAATTAATGATGCCATTTGTTCTTGAATATTTTTTGTGGCACGTTTAATGTCATTTCGCGTAAATTCTTCTAGTTGTTTTAACTCTTTTCCACTTTCTTTAGAAATGCGTTCAAGAAACAGAAGCCTTGTTGACTGTGAATCGCAGTCTGACATTTTTTCACGAAGTAAATCGGTAAATAACACACCAATGTTGTAATTATGTCCAGTCATCAATGATGCTTTATCATTCTGTTCAAAATTCTGTTCATCTTCATATTTAGAGTCATCTACTCTGCAAATTTTTTTTAGCGAAAATAAATTGGTATAAAATCGATCACAAAAGCAATTTGTTTCTGCATTACACAACCAGGTTAAGAAATGCATTTACAAAATAAACCTACATGGATTCGGAAGTAAAATCATCCTTCCATCGCTCACAACATTCTAGCAATTGCGATGGCCTTAAGCTTAGACGTAACTCCTCGAAATCGACGTCAGGACCAAATTCGTAGTATTTTAACCGACGAATACGTTCCTTCCTCATGCTCGTCTTCCGATCGAATAGATTAATTCCATCAGGACTCATCAACGTTTCATCATCGAAACTATTACTCTTGAAAAAATCCGCCATATAAAACTTATAACAAAATTTATGAAAATGAAAACCTTATAAAAGCCATTTTAAAAAATATCCAACTTTCCAAATCCATAAGCAAAATCTTCATAGAAGGTTATAACTATGTTAAGGCTACAATACCTCACCTCAAAAAGTTTTTGAACCATTATGGAGTTCGGTTCAAAGAAGGCGGAAGATGCTAAGTTGTAGGAATCTGACTTTGACGTTGAAGCACTTTGGGGTAATTTGCTCAAATACGACAAAATCAACTGATTTTGCTTTGAAATCTTTGTATCCACGTCATCCGATCTATTACTTATTACCTGAAATAAGTGGAAAAATGTTTTTAAAAAAACCAATAAAATTGAATCTGTCCATAAAAAAATGATAAAAAAGTGAAAACATAATAAGAATACTTCATAAATTTCATTTGCAAAAGACATCCACAACTTCTCATTAGTAGCACGCAAAAACTTCACAGCAACATTCACCATATTCATTTCACTTTCCTGTTCGATGATTTCACTATTAATTAATGATCCACATAACGATCGGCATAACCTTAAAATTAAATAAAATATTTGCAATGTTCGCTAAAAATAAATAAGAAAGAAAAAATACCAGGTTTCATCACTGGAATAATGCGAAGAAATAACTTTCGAGAATTCGCCTCGCTTATAACGTTTCTTAGCTTCGATAAAATCATTTAAATTTTGAAAACCGTCATCCGGTATCGCGATTGTTTCACTTCCACAGTTATGAGAATGTAAAGCGTTCATATTTTTATCCTGAAACTTGAACACACTATGGGAAATTAAAAACCACCAAAGCTTAATATATCAAAAATATCTCAATACTGTTCTATTATATTCCAAAAATATCATTTTTCTCATACAAAAATATATAATATATAAAGTACACTCAAAGTTACTACAAACTAGCGATGGTATCATCAGTATAGGAAAAAACCAAAAATGCAAAAAAAATAAAATCTATTATTTTTTTTCTATATTTTCTTATATCACGTTTTATAATTTTCTATATTATATATTTCTATATTTTCTATAATAATTTTTACCATATAAGCAAATATAAGCAAAAGACCAAAAATAAAAACAAGAAAAACAATTCGAAAAATTCGGAAAAAATATTATTACATTTCTTACGCGCTTTTCACTGGGTTGAGTCAAAGTACTTGGATTGTCATCGACAGCTTGCCTCTTTCTGCTTATCGTCTCATTATGGTGTTTACTACTAACTGAAAGTATATTTCAAAAGCTTAAAAAAATAATTCCATTAACCAATCAAATAAATTTGATTTTTCGATATTTTTACCTAACTTTTAAAGCAGAAATCCATTTAAAAAAATTTCGTTGAAAGAACTCAGGATGACTTTTATAGCAAAAAAGATTAATTAATTAATTTCCTACCTTCATCAGCAACGATTTTATCAATGACTTGCAAAACAGTTGCGGCTACTATAAAATCGTCTTTACTAATTATTCTAGTTTTAGCTGATTTCAGAATTTCATCGATTTTTTCTTTATCCACGACTGTATTATCTTCTTCCTCATCTTCCTCATCACCAAATTCCAAAAAATCATCGAACACTCCTTCGAATTTTTCCACTAAATAGTCAACGCTTCTCTTTGAAGAATACAAGGCTTTTCGAGTCGAGAATTCAGCAAAACTTGAAATTTGCGGTTTCTTAAAGGTAGTAGGATTGCATGTGAAACCGTTTGGCATTTTTAATAACGCACTCTTTAATAACGCTCGATTAGCTGCCAACTGCATTTCACTTTTCCGTTTCAATTCTTTCAGTTTTTTTATTGTAGAAACCACTAATGCAAATCCATCATAAAAGGACTTAGCCTATAAAATATAAGTTCTAATTCTAAAACATTTTTTAACAAAACTTCATAATTATTTTATATTTCAACATCTTCAAAAATATTTAGCAAGCTCATTTCGAAGTGCCGAGATTGACTGATAAGATCCTAGCGAAATCTCGACAGGATAACTTCATCTGAATAAGTTAAGAAAAACAAAATAAGTTCAACTTATGCCGATTGTTATTTGAGCCCAATAAAGTAAACAAAAAATATCTTATTCATGGGTTTAAAAATAAAAGAATAAAAAAGAAAAAAAAATGTAATAACTTACACATTCTACTTCCTTAAAATGATTCAATCCAACAGAACGAGCAGATTTTGATCGCAGCTTCATATGTGGAAGGATAGAAGGTGAAGATGATTTGCCATCTTGATTTGTTATAGCTTCAATATCCTTCTCCGAATCACCCTAAAAACTCTGGATAAACATGAAAAACTCTTGGTAAATTTTGCAAAAGAATTGGAATATAATAATTTAAACATACATATTCAGCAGCTGTATATTCTTCGAAATAATTGATAGGACTTGTTACCGGAGTTGGCTGATGACATTCAATATGTTCGCTATGAATAGTTTCAATCCGTCTGAAATAAAAAATATTTATAAATTTTTTGCAAGAATAATTTTATACGGTTAAATTTTTTTAACAACCAGAAATTGATGAATATGCGAGATAAATAAGTAAAAACGCAAAACTAATTTATTTATAATAATTATTATTACAATTCCAAAAATGTTACCATAATATCTTACTGAGGTACCTAAAGTCTATAATTTAACCTATAATTCACCATAAATTGAGCCAGAAAGAACCAATCAGTAGATATTTTTTATATATCTAATTTATCGTTGCTTTCACGCCTTACTGTAATAAATAATAATAAATTTTTTCCAAAAAAATTAGCAATTTTAGGTAATGAATGGTTCACATTCTCATAACATTTTTAACCCAATGTAGGTTCTTCATTTTCATTTTAGGCCAAAGCCTCTAAACTTCTATTTCCATTTCCTAACCTTTGTTCTTCTGGAATATAAAAATTTACTGAAATTATTTTTTTTTTGTATAAAAACTAATAATGTCCAAAAGATACAAATGAATATTCTAAAAAAAAAGAATTATGAATGAATTCACCGAAAATAATTCAATAAAATGGCTGCGGCTGTTTCCTCCTCAATAACATCAACGTTTAACAGATTTGGACTGCATATTTGACTTGTTGAAGCTATTACATCATCATTTTCCTCACTAGGTTGATTAATCTGAGGTGAAATATTTGATTCACTAACAGTCTCTTCATTTAAAACCATAGTTACCTAAATCCACTTTATTTACAAAAAAAACGGCAAAATTAAAATAATTTTTATCGATAAATTTTCTATAAATTTACTAAAAAAACAAAAGCTAAAAAAATTGCTTATGTATAAAGAACAATAAGAATAATAATTTAAAAAACTGAAAATATTCAAAAGAAAAAGGGAGATTTTGATTCGGTTTTTTATATAAAGATCTAGTACAGCGTTTTTTCTTGGTTTTTTCTGTTTTGGCTGCGTGTTAGTGCAATATTGGCGAGAAGCTGGAGATAAATCATGAAGAAGCTGACTTTTGCAGCTTGTGCGTGGCCGTCCTCTACGCTTACGAATTTTGGCTAATTTCATATTCTTCATCCTAAAAATCAAAATTAAAATTTAAATTTAAAATTTTATTTCTATAGTATATTATCATTTACTTAAAGCACATGAGAAAAAAAATGAAAGATGAAACTAACTCAGAATTTTCATCAAAACCATCCCATAAATTGATCTCCTCTTTCTGATAATTAATTCTATTCGTGTCCACCTTAACGCTCACTTCCATCTAAAGAAGATTAAAAAAATAAAGATAGGGAGAAAAAAAATTTGCTAATTCATTTGTTTATTGACTTTATTTTGGAATAAACTAAATTTTTAATATCGATTAACCTTTATTCTTTCAGGGCCTTGGGATGAATCAAACTGTTGTTTGCGCATTCTTTTACGAGGTGTATCAAGCTCAGAACCAGACATGCAATCTTCTGATGCCTATAAATTTTAATTTTTTTCTTCAAAGAAATGCTTAATAATTTTAAAAATCAATTTTTACAATTTATCAGAAGTTGAAAAAAAAATTAAAAAGCCTGAATGAAATTCAAAATTAACTAAATGGACAAGTAACCTTCTGTGGAGTTTTAGGCGAACGACTAAGACTATTTTCAACGACATCACCATTTTTTAAATCATAACTAAATATAATATAAATCATACACATAAATGATGCATATACAATTACAAATTTATAACATACATTTACATACAAATTAAAATAAAATTAGATAAATAAAATTAGATAAAAAATGAAACAAGAGACTAAATTTTATACGGCACACAAGACAATTAAATATGAAAGCCATTCCATTTCCACATAAACTGAGTGAAGAGAAAGTGAAACCAACAATTTCATTTAAAAAATTCAAATTCTTATAATCTTCCACTTAAAAATTTAACCTTCTTAGTTTGAAGGAAATTATTTCAATAATATATAATAAACTTCATTATAAACCTGCAATCATTTGAAAGAAGTGACAAGGCAACTGGATTATCACCACTTAAAGCAGAATCAGAATACACAAGTTTTCGAACTGCACAACTAATCCCTGCAAAAAAAACGATAAAACCAGGAAGAAAACTTGTTTTCCTCTATCACCACCAAATATATAAAAATACATAAAACATTACCTGAAACCTGATCTCGTGTTTTGCGCAGAATGCTAGGCCTTGGACTAGGACCAGCATGTATAGGACTAGCATTTGTATTTGGTAGCCCTGATGTATTCGTGGAAGATGATGACTGTGGCAAAATATTTGCAACAGATGAAGTTGAACAAGAAGAGGTAATTGGCATTGAGGAAAACAATAATGGTGATAAGTTAAAGCTATTTTTGTTATCAACATCTGGTGTGGTCGACAGATCATCACTGGTTACCAGTAATTGCTGCAAAATAAATTATATTAAGAACAGTTATTTATACGGTTATTTATAAATTTTCATTCATAATTGATAAAATATATTTTTTCTGAATCTACTGTTTCATCAAACTTTTTTACATAAATAAAATTAAAAAATGAGAAATAATTAGAAACAATGAAATTAAACTGGAAAAAATTGCAAAAAATAATCTCTGAAGTTTTGTCACAACGCAAATTGCAAGAAAACACAAGAATTTTAAGATTCAAAAAAGAACGATTTTGCAAAATCAGGTATGAAATATTCAATATTAACGAAAGTAAATGGTAAAACCTTTGATGGAGCTTTGTAACCATTTACAGGCAAAAGTCGCTGAATATGGTTTGGTATTACAGGCTGGAAAATCATTTTTATTTTTATAATTTTCAGAATTTTCAAAAAATGTAACGAAGTTCAGGCAAATAATTCTTGTTTAAAAAAAATTTATGGATGAAAAAAATGTGAATTAAGAATTATCTGAATCAAAAAACAAATTTCATTACATTTTTAAATTCAAAAAACTTTTAACTTTACTTTTATTAAATGTGGAAAAAAAGCCGTAATGAAATTTACATATAGTATCTAGTTTAATTAATCGACGCAAAAAAACGCACAAAATGCACAGAAAGAATTCCTTAAATTTAAAAAAATAGATATGCATAAATTGAATTGAATTGAAAATAGATATGCATAAATATATATATATATATATATTTAGTATATTCCAGGAATAACATCTAAGATCTCAATCAGAAGATTACTCTTACAACTAAGATACTGTGTAGAAGCCTTAACCTCTGGTAAAGAATCCAAGATTGAGGATGATTCTTATCACTCACAGAAAATGAGAGATCCTTTTTTACTTTTTTTTTTATTTAAACATTTAAAACCCACCGACGATGGAAAATTTAAATGATCATATGATTCAAGACTGTCCAGCAATGCTTTATTTTGTACTGTCCATCTAAATTATTAAAAAATTAAAATTAAAAATTAAAAAATTAAAAAATGATAAATTTCTATTCACATACATTCTATTCTGAAATTTTTTTTCTAAATATATTTTGAAAATACATTTTTTAAAAATCTGACCTACTATATTATTTGAATATTTGTTTCATTATTTTTAGATATATTTTAGAATAAAAATATAGCTACAAAAAAATTAAAGATAGAAAAAGGAAAATTTTTTCATGCAAACACTTTTACTAAATTTACTAAATTTCGAAAAATATTTATATCAAATATCAAAAAAATATCAATCAAATATCAAAAAAATTAAAAAATTAAAAATATCAAAAAAAAATTATGAGAGTGAAAAATATTATTTCAATATTTAAATATTATTTAGATTTAAATATTATTTCTATATTCCAATTCTCAGTGAAACTAGAAACAATAATATACTTAGAATAAGGTGATGAACTGGCAATAGATATTGCATCACCAGCTTGAAGATGAGAAGATACTGTGCGATGAGATGAAGTTGGTCGCATTCGTGCATAATTTGAGGCATAATTACTGAAATTCAATGGAAAATGATGAACAAATATTTACTTTTAAAAAAATAAGCCGAATTTTACTAAAAATAATCAAAATAAACGGGCTTTTGAGGAAATTCTAGTATTAAACAAAATATTTCTGTGGAAGAAAAATAAATAAAAACATAAGCTTACCGAGCACAAAGTGTTCCATTGCTTGCTATCGACCTTATTCCAAAATCTTGTTTAGAAGATGCATTATTCAAATCCAAAGTTGCAGATGAAATTTCATGATCATTGACAACTGACTTACTGACTGACTCAGAACCAAGAGATGATACATTCTGCAATGCAACGCAATCTCTTGTGGGGTTAGATAACGATAAAAAAGTCTGTGGTGATGATAACAGATGGTCCAAATATTGTTGAGGTGATTCGTGATAGACCATTGATGTTTGGTTATCAATTTGTGCCATATCGTCTTAAAAATGAAATCAAATTGAATTAAATAATTGAATTAAACAAAACTACTTGCACCACAAAATAATTTCAAAATTATTTCATTATTTCAATTATTTAAGCAAATCGTAATTAATTCATAAGGAAAAATAACAACTAACGAATATAACCAAAAAACCAAATAATAAAAAAAATTTAATCAAAAAAGAACATTCCATTTGCTGAATATTACTAGACGGATTTCTGAACTTTACTTAATTTATTTGAATCAATGAATATTTTACAATAATGAAAACTAACAAGAATTTGCACATGGATGAGACAAAGCCGTACTAGATGATGACGGTCGTATGGTAAGAATTTTCGAAGTGGCTCGAGCAAGGCAAACAGGAGTTTGCGGTGAAACCGATGTGCTTGCTGAATAGCCATGAACTTGATCGCGTTGCGATGTAAAAGGTGCGGACTGACCACGAACTACCGTCTAAACTTAAAATGGTTATTACTGTTCTATCCGCTTCTATTATCTTCGTAGTTCTTTACAGTATAATAAACCATGCCACGTTATATTTCTCTTGATGGCGCTTTTTTAAAAATAATGCACAATGCACAAACACATAATAATGTAGCGTTCTTCAATTCTAAATGTTTCGATTCTCTTAATCTTTTTATTAATGGTAATATAATCAGTAGAGTCTCACATATTTCTGATTTGGAATAATCATGGATGACCTCAATTTCGACCTTCACTGCAGAACCATGGTAAAAAAATCCTCAAAGATACTAAATTTTATTTTTTGTTTGCTTAAGAACAAAATTGAAGATTTTCTTATCAAAATGTACAAAGCGTTCATTTAGCCACTTTTTGATTACAATACTATAATATCCCGAGATATCGCAAATCAAATAAAATAACTGAAGAACTCCAGAAATATTTTATACGACGCCTCTCTCTTAAAAGCAATTTTCATAATAAAAAAAATCTTCCTTTTACAATATAACCTGGATCCTCTCCAAGTTCGTCGAATTAAACAAGATTTAAATTACACTTGTAAGATTCTATATGGTTATGTTAAACTAAATTTCTAGATTGTTAAAAAATATTATAATTTTAGAGTAAATTTGAAACCAACAAGAACTAATGGGCTAAAATTACTAAAAACCTATGTGCAAAACAAAACTAAGGACTTATGAATAAGGATACTTTCTTATTCGTACTATTAATTACTAGAATAAATTACTGAAGGATATAGACTATGCGCCATCCTCTATCTTTAAAAAAAGATTAGATAATATCATTTACGATATTATTTAAAAAGTTCATATCATGCAGGGAGTATGAAATCTCGATTTTTATCATCCGATTATATGTGATACAATTTATTTCGAATTGTCCTATATTATATTATTCAATAATTTCCTCTTTATTTCCTCTTCAGATTGTTAATTTTTTTCATATTTTCTTTTTCTTCTTTTTATCATTAATTATTTGTTATTTCAAGTGCTGTTACCAATACAAGCACATGGCGTTTGTCGCCCTGCTTGGCTGGTTTTCAATAAATAAATAAATTTTCTGAAAGATAAATAAAATAAAGAAAACCACTAAAAATATTTGAATTTCACTGATTACTTTGATCATTACTGAAAATAATTCATGAAAATAGGAAACGGTAAACAACTAAATCAACATATTATTGAACCTATATTATTGAAAGGATCAACATAATCAAGAAAACAAACCTTTACAAAAGTTCGAGAACTGCGCATAACTAAATTTGCGGAATTATTTGAGTTTGAACGAGTCGTAGACAAGTTGGCTGCATGATAATAATGACGTGATTCTTTCTAAACAACACTTCGTCCTAATCAAATGAAGTCCTTTTTTTGAAAAATCAAAGAAATAGAGCAGTGTTTAAAAAGATTTTTAATCTAAATTCAGGAAGAAATGAATAAACGCCGCCAAAAGACCAATAAAGATTTGTATTGACCCAGGCAGAGGAGAATTTGAACGATCCAGTGATATATGGGTCTCGATGGTGGAAAAAGAAGTAGATACTGCAACCATGTGAAGTTTCGTAAAGGTTCACGCTCACAGTCAAAAGAGCTAAGAGTTCGCTGTGTTAAGAGAAGAGATGAAAAAATGAAAAGCAATGTGTGTTAAATGCTACATTATAGTACAAATAACAAAAAAAAGTTAGATTTACCAAAATCGTTCAAATTCAAATAATTGTAAATAATCGTCCCATTCAAATAATTAAAAAAATAATGACAATAAAAACTTACTGATGGCGTTGCTTCATCAATTGCTGACATTGTTTCGTTGCAAGTTAAATCTTAAAGTAGCGATAATAAATGCAAATAAAATGAATTACAGTTCAACAAAAAAACGAAAAATGAACAAAAAAACTTGAAAATTTTCAACATTTCCTGCGAATAAATATTAAAGAAAATTCATTGCAATTATTGCAATTGTGAAAAATTATTTTTTTCACAATTCATGTTTATGTTTATAGAAAACAAATTCAAATTTTGAAAATATATTTAATAAAAATCCAAAATTTTTGGAAATGGTTGTTTTGAAATTTCAAATTTCATTGAATCTCATTTTAAAACAAATTTTTTAAAAATTTTTCTTTAAAAAAGTCATTAATTAATTAATTGATAAGTCAGTGTAAAAAAATGATATGAAATGCATACCTGTCGTCTTGTTACGAGACATTTCACTAATTTGTTATTAGTTATATTATTTATTTTTTGTAATATGGAACAAAATATTAAAATATGATCAATTTTACATCGAAAATAGAGAGAGATTTTGCCTAAAATTTATTTCGAATAAAATTTAAAAAAACCTTTTTCAACGATTAAAATTGCAACGATCGAATTGTAAATAATCAATACCATTTGATAAACTAATAACGTAAATTTGACCTAATGAAAATTAAATTCTTTGAAAATTATAAATCGACGACTTGAAAATCCGAGAATAATAACTGATAATAATAACTGATTATCAGATATTGAAAGAGTTAATCAACCTCCCAATCGTGAATAAACCGCTTAAACACCAGGAAGATTACTGAAAGAACCGCAATTAAAACAACGCAAATGAACCCAATCCAATATATTGCAGGTTATTCTTTATGATTATGAAGGATGGTTTTAAACGGTAAATTATTGCATTATTCCATACGGGGGATTCGTATGGCGAATTTCTGAACCTATATTTCTCGGACAAATTCTGAATTAAGAACTCACAATTAAAAAAAGATGAAATGAAGAGTTGTACGTGAAAAAATAACGTCATATGCGCATCATAATGAATTTCTGAGCCATAATCTTTCACGTGAATTTCTAACTGAATTAAATAATAATAAACATTGAATAAATAAAAATCGTTAATGACAACTTGAAATTTCACATAAATAATAAAAAATTGGGCTAAAGAGATGAAAAAAAGCATTTAGAAAAAGGAGGAAACCAAAAAAAATAAAGACAAAATAGGCGCGCGACGAACCTTAATTATTTTGATCAAATTGTAATGGTGTATTCTCAAAATAGCCTGAAAAACAAAGAGATCCGGAAGTCTACTCAAGTGCTAAGACAACGAACCCAGTAACAGGTCAACTGGCACCTACATAAGAATATAAGAAACAAACAACACCTCAAGATAACCTTTAAATATTTCCCGTTTCGTGGCGTCGATATTTTATTTCCCACTGAAATGCAGCTTCCCTACTGTTTCTTTCTTTCACTGCCTCTATGAGATAATAGTTATACTTCGTAGACATTGTTTGCCGACCGCGCATGTGTGTTAGTAATTGAAAATGAAACCAATGTAGTGTGCCTTGTGATTCGCTTTAGAGAGAGAAACATTTTTCATTTCTATCCTATCGCTTTCTACTTGCTTTGTGACGACAAGTTTCGTGGTACTTTCGTTTTTTAGTGGGTTGGGGGTGTAGCGAGGGGGTGTTTGGAAAAGGGTAAACGTTGTTGAAGGTGAAAGGTCAAGACGTTATTTTTCCGGGGAAAATAATAGCGACTTTTTTTGTTTCTATATACAAGAATCTTTGTTTTTTTGCATTTATTAAATATAATATAAAATAGTTTTAAATTTTTTAAATAAAAATATCTTAAAAGTTGTTCTCGAAACGGAAAAAAAATATTATTAACGAGGAGAGCGAAAACGCATAGAGAAAAATTTCAATGAAAATATCATCGAATTATTCTGGGAAAGAAATAGAAATATAAAAATATCGAATGGTTAATAGGAAAGAAAAAAGGAAATGACGATAGAATGCGACGATCAATTCATTGGAAAATTATCGATTGAATATTTTTTAAGGGGTCTTTAACTTTTAAAATTCCCTTTATTTATTTTGGTTCGCGTTTTATTCCCTACTTTTTATTCCCTACTTTTTCCCTACTTTTCCCTACTTTTTATTTTCGCTTTACCATTTTATTGTTGTTATTATTATTATTTACATTCATTTACTATCAGTTGTTTGCTACTGTTCTGTTATTGTTGTTTATCATCGTTTAATTTGTTTAATTTGCCATTGTTTTTTTATCAATTTTTAAATTAGTTGAAATTGTCACTGATATATCTATTTTCTATCCACTTTACTTTTTAGCCAATTTCATTGGCATTACTTAAAAATTTTTTATAAACAAGTTATTTTTATTTGTTAGAAAAGGGTTTTAAGCATCGTAGATTCAGTCTTGTCTTTTGATAAGGATTTGATAAAGGTAATGATAAACGTGTTAAAATGAAATTAGGCTAGGCTAATAACAGTATACGCTTTCTTTCTTTCCCCAATTAACAAACGAAATAATCTCTCTTCAGTTATCAGTTATCAGTGAAACAATAGCTAAAGTTCTACAGTTAAATAATATTCGAAGCATTTTTTTTACGAAAAAATTCTAAATTCTCAATTCTAAAGTCGATGGATTTTAATTCAAATTTGTTTTTAATTTGTTTTTTTTAGGAAATTTCGCCAAAATTCTTTTTTGCTCGAGGAAAAAACAGAGGGATTTCTCTTTTTAAAATTAGAAATATTTTATTTCCGTAAATTTAAAGTTTTTATTGAAATTTGTAATTTTTTTAAAATGAAATATTAGCAAAATTTACACGATTTAGCACAATTTTTTCGCATAAAATTGTAAAATAAACCATTACAAAAATCGGCTTTTTTCCAAACAAAACAAAAATTTTTATAATCTTTACAGATTTTTTCGGTTGTTTCTTCGGTTACTTCAAACGAATTCGAAATTCTAAAATATTCTTTCATTATAATCCGTGCAAGCAGATCTCTTTATTTATTTATCAATTTAGCTTTTCGAAAAAATTTTGGTCTAAAAATATCTTTGCTTTTAGCGGATTTTTTCGCTCAGATACCACCTATATTAATAGGTCCATCACAGAGAGTCGCCTTTGCTAATTAGAGCGTTCTTCATCGTCCACCACAAGAATTGGCTCATATTTCGTTACTTGAAAAGCCCTGTGATAAGTGGCGGCAAAAGCGAAGTGGACGAATGAAGAGCTGGACTAAAACGGTCAGAAGAGATTTTGAACGTATAGATGGGCCAGCAATATATGGATTTATTAGACGACGGAAAAGGAATGGGTTCTTTTATTGTCGACAGTGGCAACAGGTCGCTCAGTTCGGAAACCCTTGTAGCCCTCGGAGCAAGTCTAACCAGTAACGGTGAGAGCTGTCAGAATAAGATTATTGGAGTATTGCTTAATGCGATCCCAGTTATACCTCTGCATTCAAATAATTCGCTAGCGGACTAATTTTTCCTTATTAATTTGTTAAAGCAATCAAATTAATAACTGTAGTTGTTTAAAAAGAAATTAACTACAAATTTTGAGGAAAAATTATATTAAATATTCCTTGTCATCGCTAATTTTTATTGATACCAAAAGTTCCACAAAAATTTTAGATTTTTCTTTATATTGTAAAGAAATTATCTCTATAATTCTATTCTATATTCTCTAAAATTCTAATCAAATTAATATAAATTATAATTATTTCTGTTGGATTACTTTTTAAGCAATGTTTAATGGGAAATGAACTGTTTAATGCGGTTAAAAAATGTTCTAAGTAGTTGCAAAAATAACTTCAATTTGTTCTGTTTTGATATTTTTGCTCTTTCAGTTATAGATTTAATTGATAATGATGAGACTGATGACATCGAGACTGATGTTGTCGATGAATGCAAACTACAGAAACGACACGTTTTTGCACACGAAACTTTCATGCCTTCCGCTGATAACACACACTGGTTCGTCGATAAAAGTGTATTGCAGTCGCTTCGATAATCTTTACATTCATTTGCATTAACTGTAAGTTATGGCTTTTTATGCGATTAAATATAAGATTTAATTTATTGTATTTTTATACCATTGTTACTATTATTTGTGTTTTTATGCATTATTACTACTATATTATTATCATTGTAATTATTGTAATACTATATTATTTATTTTAATTTTATTTTAATGTATTTTTAAATTTATTCAAAGATTTTTATAGAAATCACCGTTATTTTCATCGCATAAACCACAACTTGCAGCGCAAAATTTTCGCATCCAATAAGGATTTTGGTCACACCATCCTGAAAGATTGAGTAAGTTGTTCTTTAGACTAGAAATGCATGTCAGTTTGGTTCCAATGATACTACTTTGTTCTATACACCATTAAAATAAAACTGGTAAAGGGACGAGCAGAATTGTTTTTGAACCTTAGTATATTCCTTGATATTTTTTCACATCATTTGCTGTATACCCTTCATGTCCCTATAATTTTGTCTAAACACTATTCAATTTTCGATATTCTTTTTTAACATTACTTATCCATGAAACCATGCTATCTTTTGCAATTTTACAATTCGCCGCATTACATTTTCGGCAGAGGTGTGGAAAAAAAGAATTTAAAGTGATGATATGAAAATGATAATGGTTTTCGACAAAATAGCACAAATTCTTGGGAATATTTAAGGCTTTTGGGTTTGGGAAAGTTTTTTTTTTTTTTAATGGCAGATTTCGTGTAATATCAAATAGTTTCAGCATAATGTGCTGGGATTTTATAGACTAACTGACTGACTTTTAACGGCTAAGGGATTGTTAAGGGGTAATAGCAGAATACGACAAAGTATCGGTACCAGAGTATCCAGGCAAGAGTTTGATTTAAGACATCTTAAGGTAATGTTTCTATAAGGGGATTTTTCAAGCCAAGCGAATTGTAGCGAAATATTTTCTTAAGTTATTGAACATATAATATCATACAAGGCAAGGAAATTTATAATAATACAGTGGAGCACAACAAGGTTTAATGAAGTATTAAGAGAAAACAGCGGGCTTTCCAAGAGAGATTTGAGATGTATCAGATTCTTAGAAAGGGGGGTGAGGTTTAAAAAAGTTGTTAAGAGGATATTGCTAATGATTTAAAACGTAAATTTGACAAGAATTATCGAATTTAGAGAGAAAAGGATGGCATTTAACGAGGATTGTGACAAAATTTTGCAGATTTTAGAGAATATAGTTAGGAGGATTATAGGATATTCTTTTATATTCTATACGCTATTCTTTTTCATGCACTAATCTCTTCCTCTTCCCCTTTCGAAAGGGCTAATTTTTATGTTGTGGTTAAATTTATTTTTTGGATGATGTAATTCTAGTATTTCACTGATTTCTCTATTATTACGTTATTATTCGCAGTGCTTTTTTTTTCCAGTGCCCTTTTTAAATATTTTGTTTTTATTTGGTCCATTTTTGTTGTTAATGCATGCTGGATATAGCAGAATATATACATTTCATATGAACTTCAAAACTGTTGTATTCTGTTAGATTTAAAGTTTTTGACTTAACGGACAGGAAATTTCATATTTTGTAATAGTGACTGAATTTTATATACACTTCCCTTCCCCCATTTTTCTCTAAATATATAGTTGTCGAAAATTTTTTGTCTTTTTGTGTATAATTTGATGTATAATTTGTGTATAATTTCTTAAATGCTCACTAATTATTTTCATTTTAATTTTCTAATTTTTCGCGGAAAAAACTTGGCATATGTGAATAGAAACCTAGTAGGTTTATAAATTTCATTTTTAACGACAGGTTTATTCAAGAAATAAGGATCGACTGCAATATAAACCAGTCTGGAATAGAGTATTACGTAGCGTGTCATTCATTTAATCAAATATTCCTAATTATTCTACATCTAAGGAATTTAAGGATTTGGTGAAGATGGATCAGTGCGAGTAAGAATTGTCTTCTCTTATCGAATTGTTGTTATTTGATGAAAATGAAAGAAAACAAGGAATATCTTATAAGAGAGTAAATATTTCATAAATAAACAATATTTTAGATGTGTATACCTTGTATAACGAATTCGTGACAATCGTTTCGTTTATTTTCGCATATTTGAAAAGTCGATGTAGGCGAATAATCTTTTGTGATGGTGGCTGTCGTTGATTTCGAAAAAAATGGCTCATTTGGTTTTGTTTGCGATGTTATAATCGTTAACTGTTGATTATTATTTGAAAAAGATTCGTCTTTGTCTTAAAAAACTTTTATGTTTTTACAGCATTAATAATATGCCGACATGGAAAATATCAGTGACAATAATTGCGATTCCTAATGAAATAAGCAATTTCTTTCTTTGATCATCGTTTTATATCTGACTGTCTGACCTACATAAGGAGCTATACTTGGTTCACAAGGTACCACTAACTGATTTACGATATTCTTATATTTTTCACTTGATGAACTCAGCAACTAATGAAATGAGATGCTTGATTATTAAAATTAAAATTTTACAATAAAGAATACTACTATTTAGGAATGAGAACAAAATCATAATTAATTTTTCTGGTATCATATTGATAAATAATTAACGCTCAGCTTAGGTAATTCCACTGTTTGTTAGTACTATGATAATTTTTAACAGGAAGTATATTCGATAGAAGTGTAGTTTGATCGTCACATCACCTGATTTTTTTAATGACAGGTTCCTGTTGGAGATAGGAGTTGAATCTTTGATTTTCAAAGCGATATATTTTGGATATATTTTGATTGAAAGATCTGTTAAAAGATTTGAAAAAAACGAACGAACCAGTTTTGCGATTGTGACATCTATAAAGTTTGTTGATTTTATGCGAATCGAGTTTACTAAAGGCGATACGTTGACCGATAGATACGCCTTTTTGTTTTGGAATAATCGTATCTTGACCATTGCTGCTGAAGGCTTTTGGACCGTAATGCATTAAAGAAGCATAATCATAACTGGCATCTAAGGTATCAATCATTCCTTGGCGATATTTCTCGAACTGTCCTTAAATAATAATAGTAATAAAATTAAGTAATAATTTTCATAATAGTTTTCTATTAAATCGCTTTTTTTTGATGGGCGGAACCATTTTAATAGAAAACTGGTGTAAAGATGCCGGTAGCCACCTGGATTTCTTTTGATAATGAGATTTACCTTTATTAAGGGATAAGAAACGAGTCTATATATTGCTTTGCTGAAGAACTCAACCACCCTGTCAGGCTGCTCATATGATTTCTTTTTTGTTCATTTCACACAAATTCAGAATGTCTGATAAGAGAAAATTGATTCGGATGAGGAATATCTTGTATTAGTTTAGCAAATAAAAGTAATGAATAGAAACCTTCCATTCCAGGCATAATATTTTGCCACAATATAGTAATGTAATCATCTCGATCATAACGAGATTGTTCGTGGAAAAAACCAACAGCATGCATTAATTCATGCATTATTATACCTTTTTGTATGCAACCACTTCCAATTGAAACAGTTTGTTTACCACATAAAAAATTTGCCGAATAAAATATTAATTTTTATTACTCGAAGAATTAGAAATTTTTATTATTTTATCTGTCTCTTAAGAGTCTTCGTTTAGAGAGTATTTAGTTAAAAGTTTTATTTAAAGTTTTATTTTATTTTAGTTTTCTTTTTGTAGTCATCAATCTAAATCCCTAACTGATTTATTTTTAAAGAGCCGTTAAAAAATGCGATTTCAGTACGAGTTAATTTGATTGGCTTATCCTCTGGGGAAAATCCATTTCTCTTTTTTGTTCTAAAAGTTTGGACCTTTGATGAATTTTGTGGATCTTTAATGGTAAAGAAATAAATCAAACCTGTGCGTCCAACCATCGAATAGCATCCAAGTTCAGGTAATATGTAAATATAGTTAATATCAGAATCATCTTTTGGCACCCAGTGAATGCAAGTTTGTTTCTCATATTCTTGCATAGCGGATGCTATCACCGATCGGCTTAAAATTCCTTCTTAAAAAAATTATTTTGTTTCATAATCTAAAAATTTGAACTCTAAAAAGTTGTATGAAATTTGAGTCGAAGGCCGCAGACTTGGTTTTAGGCTTAAAGGTCATATCGGTTGGGGACTTGTAATACGATTGATAAGGCTTCATTTCCACTGATATTTCTATTTCCTTGTTACTAGATAAAAACCTTTGGTTTAGGGATTTAACCATTACCGAAGATTTTTAATTCAGAGCAAAACCAAACATATTTCTACTTGTCCAGTTTTTAAAAAATCGGCTTATAAAATAATTTCAGAGAAAATATGCGAACCTATATTGACTATATTGGCTACTTAGAACATATGGTATTCTTCCTTTTGGCCATAGCTGGTGCCGATTTTTTACTGCATTTAAAACAGTTCCATCGTTGTAATTTGTCTTCGCTCCATAAACAAATAAATTGATTGTTGTTGAATTTAGCTATAGAAAATGATGTAAAGAAGTTTGCCCATTAATTAAATAATTTAACATTTTTACAGAAATATGGAATTTTGATAAAATAGTTTTTTTTGGGAAAATTCATAGAATTTTTTCATTTATTTTTCATTTATCGACAAAATTTGTTAAAAAATTGTAAATTTTTTCTTCGATTTATATTTGTTATCGAAAAATTTTTGTATTAAATTTTTATTAAAAGAAAAGTTCGAAGCAATGTTATTTAATTCATTGCCATTATCGTTGTTATAATATTATCGTTATTATAACTTTTATATTATTATCAGTTATTATGAAAGGATCTCTTACATCCATATTAATATCTCCTTCAAATAAATTCATATTGTATAACGAATTACTATCGTAAAAATCATAATTGGCATTGTTGAGACTACTGGCCAATTCGAAATCTTCTGGCAATAGAATCGTTTCATATTCTGGTATTGTTCTGTCGAAATACTGTTAATAAAATTAAGTTAAATTAATAAACTTTATAAATTATTAACTTATCTTAAAATTAAAATCTCATTTTAATTTTTCCTATGCACTTTAAATTTTCTGTATAAATTTTGTATTTTACCGTGAAATTATAAGTGAAAATTTCCATTATCTTTGCCGTTGTCACTATTATCACTATTATTTTTTGCTAATTCAACTGTAAGCGACTAACGATTTTTGCTCAGTTAATACAGCAAATGATTTTTTATATATAATTTAAAAACTTATCAAAGTACTTCATCAATAATTTTAACCAAATTGTATTTTTTTCCAGGCAGTTAAAGAATGCACGATAAAATAAAATTGAGTAAAATGAATAAAAAAGAGAAATTGAGATATTTTTTAAAGGGGAATTTGCTATAAATGGGAATTTGATTTCACGTAGCAATAAATCATCCTGATTGATCCTTCATTATAATTTCATTTTACCTGTAATCCTTATAATCACCACTGTCAATCAATCAATCCATAATCATTTTGATCTCAAAAATACAAAGAGTAAATCATTGCTTAAAGAAATTGGTTTTTTGAAATTTTACAAATTATTTACCTTATTTGAATAACAATTTTTCACAAATGCCATTAATAAAATTTTTGTCTTAATAAATATGAAAAAATTCATCGTTTCTTATAATAATTCTTCGTTACGACTTTTTTCTGAAAAGTTAACAGTTAATAACGAAAACAATAAGAATAAAACGGAAAATAACGTAAATTGGACAAGTAATATTGAGGTGAATATTTATTTTGAAAGAAAATGAGATGTAAGATGGTTTAAAGTAAAACTGATACTTTTTTACTTTGAAATACACAGCATTAAAAGAGTGGAAAGGAAAAGTGACCGTCCGATTTCGTTGACGAGTGAGCGAGCAACGATGAACTTCGCTTTGTTCTCGAGCTTTTCGACGGATTTCAAGATTCTTCCATTGTTTATCGTTCGTCGCAAGCATCGGTCGGAGCGAACTAACTGATTTGGCATTCTAAAAAACCTAAACTATAATATGCGGTCTGTCGAGTTAGAATAAATCTTCTGGAATATTTGCACGAATAAAAATAATCGCCTTGGCTTGAATAATATTTGCTGAGGTGGTGGGCTATGAACTCGAACTCAGTGCATCGCACTTAAAAATTTATGTGAATTGGTCACGCACACCACTTTGCGGACTCACTTGTCTTACTGATAGAATATAATGCTTATTACCTGCTTTTCAGTCTTTTGGATGGATTTAAAATTTTTAAAGTCAACGTGAAATTCTTTTCTCATTTTCAGCCCCCTTCAATGCATTTACTGCAGTTTCGAATTTCGAAATATTGGTAAAATTTTCCTCTATTCAACCACAACACAAATAAAGATCCAACAGACATCAGGCATTACTTCTTTTTCTTCAGTATTTTCCTAATAAATACCAAATCTCGTCGAATTTATTCTCGCATTGGGCCACCCTTTCTAGTCGTTTATTTTTATGTGGAATAAAATAAGAAATGATTCCGTAAACTTCTGCCGGTCCCTCATGTAATTTCGTGAGCATTGGGCTTTCTAGTATTATTACCTTCTAAAAACTCTCTTGCTAGGAAGACCTAATACTCATTTCCTGTTGTTCACCACATACCTTTTTTCAGTTTTTCTTCCAGTTAGCTCGCATTGGTTATGGCTACGCTGGCTTCGCCTGCTAAACCGTTCCTAAACCGTTTTCCTAAACCGTTTGGTTCGATGCTTTTCCTGCTATTGCTGTCGATGATATCATCAGACCGCGCCGCTTGTCTTACCTTGCAGCCAGTGGAGCCAGCCTAACCAGTAAAATGAAAAAATAATTCCTGACATTGCTTTTCTACTCTTTTTTCCTTGTAAGTCTAAGTATGTATATCAATGGGCCACTTATACCTTCAAAATCTCTTCTGATTATCCATCGGTCATCCTCGCCTTTGATGCCATGACATATAACAGTAGCGAGATTTGCGTCAGTTCCTACGATAGGCGGTGAAGAACATAGCCTAAGTAGCGTAGACGATGCTCTTTGACATCGTCGTTGATGCAAATTTTACTTAAATAAAAGTAGATACAATTATATGGGACTTCATCCGCTCGCCGAATGCGCAAATCACCTTAGACATGAGTGGTCAAAGCTTCTAAATATCTTCCACTTTCCTTACCGTGCTTTGCTATAAGATGCTAGGCATTTGAAGAATGTTTCTTTTCCGGGAATTTTATTGGCTTTAACTTCTGAATGGTGGAGGCCATTTCTTGCTTCGTTGATAGCTCGCAGTCGTTTCATTTGTCCTTTAATATGTCGAAAATAATAGATGGCTAATAGTGTTTAATATGAAAAAATTCTCCCTACCATATTAGGCACCCTCTCGAGTACATTTCTCTGGCCAAGTTTTGGTTAGTTTCTGGATGCATAATAATTTATCTAAATCTTTGTTAAACGCACTTCGTCTCCTTATTTATTATAATATTGCTCCTTTAACCGTTCGTCAGTGTTGTTGTTGTGTGGCTTCGATGTATTCTATAGCTAAGTCTGTACCAAACATGTTTACTACTGGCAACCTTTTCGGAATTGGATCTATGCGATTCGCGACTGGCGTATTTCCAAGCTGCATATTATGGCGTGAAATTGGAAGTGCGCTTTTAGTTGAGACCAATGTTGACCATGCGTTCCAGAGATGTCCTTGATATTCACTTTAAGATTTTTTACTAATTTGAAACATGCTTACTATTCCCATATCCTTTAGCCCAAGATGGTCGAAAGATTTGATGAGCCTCTTAACAACTTCCGATTCATTCTATTCAATTCATTTTATTCCACAAATTATAAATAAACCAAACAATTAAAAAATTTAAAGAAATTAATTCAATTAATAATTAATTTTATATAATTTAAACGGAAGTGAAATGAGATGGAAATAATTTGGATCGATCAACATTTCCCATGGAAAATTTTAAAAAAAGGCTGAAAACCAATTTTTTTCACAGAAATGGACCTCATTTTTGACTTAAAAATTTTTGACTTAATTTAAAAGCTAAATGAACTGCTAATTTTTAAATTTTTTTTTACATTATTCAAAAAATTCTTGAAAGAAACCCGGTGAACAAGATGTATCTTCTCAGTGCATCAATAATTTATTTTCGTTTTCCAGACGCATTATTGTAAAATATTTCTTTCAATAAACTGATAAATTCATTGAATTGAGCAATTTATGGAGATTTATGGTCCAAAAAATAAAAGGATCATGGTAAAAAATCAATTTTACAAAATAATAATTCGTAAGTCATCAGATCAAAATAAATGGATCATAAGAAAAATTATTTGACAACAAACAATATCCAAAAATTATTTGTTTTTCCTATTAATTAATTCCTGTTCATATTTACTTTTACTCTGATACCATAATGCAAAGGGAATCAAGGTCGATGGCGTGATAAGCAAGATAAAAACCAACCAAACGCTAATATTCGCCGAAAATTTACGATCGTAGTCTCTTTGTCGATAAATATAACCTAAAAAGACAATTTTTTGATTTTTGATGAAATCTTTACATTTTTTACCTTTAGATTTTCATCATCAGATAAAATCCACAGAGATCAAATCAAGCGAAAAAAAAATTAGAAGGTTAAATTAATAACCAGAAAATAAAAAACCTTCGCCTGGAGCGGTTGTATAACCGATTCGAGGTTCTTTTGCATCATCCGATGACAAATATGTGACCTGAGCTGCGGTATAATTAAATGCACCAATAGCACGAGGTCGGACCACTACTGAATGCGATACATTAGAACCAGGAAGAATGCGTTCCCATCGAATCTATAAATATAAAATAGCAGTTAAAGATTAAGACAAAAAATTAGAATGAATGGTCATATCATCCGAGTTTGTATGATAATTCGTATCATTGTGCGGTTACCTATATATGCGAATACAAAACTGATTTCATAAATTATTCAACGAGAATTTCCCAAGGAAGAATTTAATACCATTCACCCAAGATTTTGCGAAGTATAATGTTATGATTCATCGTACACGAATAAAATTATTGTTTTAAGTAACAGTCCATTAATAACAAAAAACTGACATTAAATTACTTCAAGATGGCATCAATCTTCATCAAATAGCTCAGGAACGTGTCAAAGCAACATATTCTAAAACCTGCTAAATCCAAAACATTCATAAAACTGATAACGATAATAATATTTGTAATAATAGCCACTTATTTTCTTAACAATAACTCATATAAAGAAATAATACAATAATAATAACGTTTATAAAATCTACCAGAAGCAAGCCTCTAATTATTTCAAAAGCCTGACTGGGAAAGCCATCACGATCATCCAAAATTACCTTTGTTGCGACCTAAAAAAATAAAATTCATGAAAATAAAATTCTGTGTATTTTTTTTATGTATTTTATAACATATATATATATAAAATATAAAAATATATAAAAAATATAAAAATCTAAAGAAAATTTAATCAAATTTCATTTTACCATGAATCTTTTTAACGAAATAATGAAATTGTGAAAATTACAAAACGAAAACGACATGCACCGTAAAGATGATAATTAAAATTCCACCTTACGATCAACACCAAAAGGACGATAAACGAAACCTTATCATATTAACAATGCAATGTGGAGGTCAATCAAAATTGCACCTTGTCGCCCACGTTGTAGAGATGGTAGCTAATAACGTAATCCATCCCTTCAACAGCATACTGCGAGAGACCGAATTTCGACGCGATAATGTGCGCCGTGTTCATCGCCTTATCGCTGTCGCTCTCGCCGTTAATTATCACTGATAATGACGCTAATATTAATATTAAAGTAGCTTTCGCTGTGGCCATCTGTAAACTTATTTCATTACATCGCTAATAATTCTGAAAAAATTTTGAATAATCAGAAAATCTGAAAAAACTGAAAGCAATGAGAATCGAAATTTCCCATCGCTTTTTATTCAATAGAAATAAGAAAATTAATTTTTATGGGCCAAAGTGGCTAAAATTTCTGAACTTATTTTCCTACGAAAAATAAAAACACATCGGAAATAGAGAAAAACGCTTTAAGTAAAATAATTAAAATCAGAAGAATCGGAACAAAGAACGCTTCCAAAACATTTGCATAAAACTGAGTGCGAATTACGACATTTGAGCGAAATCGAGCGACCTTCGCCAAACCTCTATGACGACACAACGAGAATTAGCAGTTCGGCGACTGCATGGTCTTACAACGAATGGAAGGTATTTAAATTTTCGTAAAACGTTTCATCTGCACGAATTTTGAATTGGTTGCTTGAGGCCAAGGTGAGGTTCTCAGACGAAGTAACGGTGGTGGGGGGCGGTGTAGGTGATTGTCGTATGCTACAGTAGATTTTATTCGATTATTCCATTGTATTCTATACATATTGATGTATCCTTTCTATTTTTAGTTAATTTGTATTATATAGTCTAAAATATTCGTTTGGGTTGTAAGAAAAGTGAGATTTAGTGCTACAAAATCCAATTCAGGGTTTTGTAACGAAATTATTTTTTTTGTGAATACTTCATGTATTCTTTGGCCGTTCGAAATTCAAGGAATTGTTTTTTTTATAATTTTCTAGTTTTGTAAGTTGTTTGATGGGTTAATGGTTTGTTCAGTTGTTCTTTGGATTTTGTTAAGCAATTCAAGAAATTATGAGCAACAAATTGTTTAAAATTTTTTGATTTGGATGATAAATAAAGAATTGATTAAATGTTTCGGAAATGTTTTAGTAAAATTCAAAATATTTTGAAACTGAAAAAAATTTTTTTATTAGAAATAAAAATTAGTTTTGTTTGGTAGAAAATGAGATTTAACTTTGAATTACACGTTATCAGTGCTTAATTAACTGTTATTATTTATAATTTATCATTATTATTATTATTAATTATTATAAGATTTATTTATAATTTATTATTATTAATTATGCCTTCTTACGCCTTCGGTAAACAGTGAGTTCCCTAAAAGTCATCTTTTTCAAGAGCACACACTCTGCACTAGTTAGACTCGCCCGGCTTTTCAAACTGAACAAAATTGCCAGGGAGTACCTTGACGATAGAAGTGCATGATTTCTGGACAGGTTTATTCATGCGGAGAAAAAAATCATTATCGAATTGCCTTAAATTTTTTACTCATTAAAGAGATTGATATGCGATTCTTCAGGCATACTGGGTCGATGAATTTTTTATCGGTCTCGAGAATGTCACGCTATTCTTTTTTATTTAATTGATCATTTTAAATCAATGAAACTTTGCTGAAATTTTTATATTTATTTATATCTCTTTTCGTAAGTGGATAATGTTAATTCGACACGTCGACGATTCTTATTGAGTGAAAGCCTGAAATCTTTGCAGAATTCAATTATATACAATCTTTGGCCGACGAAAACTATGTGGACGTATAAAAGAAGGAGAGAATTTCAGCTGTCACCTTCCTTGCAGAATTGGGAGCTCAGTCTTCGAATGCGATGTCTGCATCTTTCTATTCAATAAATTAAATTTTTTATAAGATGATAGGTTTTTGAAGAATGTTGTTTATTTCTTAGTTAATGGCATCTTAAGTCGTATTCTTAATTCCATTGATATTACTGTTGGGAGTGAACAGTGATTATACTCTCACACTGGTTATACTTCCTCCAGTTTTGAAATTACTTGGAGATAGAATCGCTCGCAGGTTATCACTCAGATTTTTAAAAAACAAATTTATTCCTGTAGAATCCCACCACTCGCGTATGAAATAAGAGCATACCATTCCACCCCCACATCCATCAGGGAATACATTTTTAATTTTTTTTATCTTTATCTTTCATTATTCTCAGTTATTGCTTTTGAATTGTAGTTATTATTACGAAATTATTACTACTAGAGGTATCTTTGTGAAGAGCCAGTTTATAAGTCTAGCATATTGTCCTTTAATTTTTTTATAATTGGAAACGTTAATTATTGGAACAAATCACCCAGGCAAGTTGTTAACATGAAATTATTTAAGGATGCAGCATTAATCCATTATTGAAGATATCGAGAAATTAAATATTTTACTTTTTTACTATTTTACTTTTCTTTGTGCTGCTAATTGGTTCTTATTTTGATGTTTATTCTAATTATTTCTCCCCTTCTAGCTCTCACTAGCAAATTGAATTTGGTTCTTATTAACTAAAAGTTTTACTTATGCTTTTTTTCTCGTAATTTTTAAATATAAATTTGAAAAAATAAATAAATTTGCTACCTTCATATTGATCGAAGCAGCATTTTGATTTTTGTTTCATCATTTTGTTTTCCATATTTGTTTTAATAAATTTAATAAACAGTAAATTATTTGGATAATAATATTCGTATATGTGTGTATTTGAGCAGGCGAACGCTGTCAATGCAGCAGTTATATTTGTAATCCCCATTCCCCTTTAATAGCGAAACTAATGCGATGGAAGCAAAACATATTGCGCTTTCGTGTCTTTTCAAAGAATTTTTATGTGTTAGTAAAACGATTCGGTTTTTTGTTGTTCAATTTAGATTTTTTTTGGTTTTGTGAAATATATTCAAAATTTTGCGGATTGTTGAGGGTTATTGAGGATTTAACGTACTTTCACTTTGAAATCCACTTTGCAGTCGATGGTTTCTTGTTTTTTTTTTAGGTATTTCTGTGAATGAAATTATTTCAGAATGCTTTATGATTTTACATATTTTTTTTTTATCGTGAGTGTTGCCGTGATCCTTGCTAAAGATCAGACACCATCCACCCCTGTAGATAAAGAAGCAAAATCTGTTCGGGAAACGTCTTCTCAAGAAGTGAGAGGATATTTTAAAAAAGAGCATTCACTTAATAAACCTTATCAAGGTTACGAATTTTTTATTAATTTAATTTATTTTATTTATTTTAGCTTTATTTATTTAATAAATTCAATAAATTATTTGAATTTAATCTAATTTATTTAATAATAATAATAATAATTATATAATAATTATATACTTATATATATTTACACTGATGGTCTGAATTCTTGATTTTCTTTGAACTTGTTGTCGAAATTTGAAAATATATTTGGCATAATTTTTGTCTTCAAAAGTGTTCATCTAATATTCTTTCTGGTTTGGCTGGATGCACCGGCTATAAAATTCTTTCGCGAGAAGTTTAATCGGACAATAAAAGTTCAGATGGATCATCTCAGTTTCACTGACAAGTTTACACTCGTCAAGATGAAATCTCTTAATAGCCGCCATTTGACCATTCTATTATCTCTTTCTCTAATTATTTTTGTTTATTTATGTGTCTGATTCAATTTTTTATCCGAAATAAATTTATATATAAAAGGAATATCCCTGTAATATTCTGGATTTTGCGATAAAATTGTATTTTCTCTGGATTAGGTACTGGAATGAATATGGCAGAATGGGATATAGTTGGTTCAACAGTGGTCTCAAATCAGTATATTCGTTTAACAGGTGATGTGCAGAGCCGACAGGGTGGTTTGTGGAACAATGTGGTACATTTTTACATATAGTCTTCTTTTACTAAAAAAGATTTACCACTTGCTCTTTCATTGAAATAATATATTTTTATAGCCAGTAAGATCAAAAGATTGGGAATTGTTGGTGAACTTTAAAGTACATGGTTCCAAAGGCGATTTATTCGGTGATGGTTTGGCTATTTGGTATACTCAAAGTCGAGGTGAATTAGGGAGCGTTTTCGGGTCTAAAGACTATTTTCGTGGATTATCTGTATTTCTTGATACATATAGTAATCATAATGGTCCACATTCGGTATGCTGTATTTTAATAGATTTATTTTTCTATATCTTATTTTTATGCTTTTTGATTATAAAGAGTTTTTTAGCATACCCATCCTTATATTACGGCTATGGTTAATAACGGGACTTTACATTATGATCATGATAAAGATGGCACGCATACACAGTTGGGTGGTGAACATACAGGTTGTGAGGCGAAATTTCGCAATAAGGACCATGATACGCAAATACTTATCCGTTATGTCGCCAATACTATTTCGGTTATCTTTTGAAAAAATTTTATTTGCCTATAATTGTTTAATTTGGTACGTAATTATTTATTGAAATTATTGAATATTATGAAAAGCCATTATTTGGTTGGATTGAAATTGTGACTTTCTTTACACGTTATATGAAAATGAAAAAAATGAAAAATGAAAAACTTTACACTTATTCATATGTCAATCTTTTGCTAAATTTGCTAAATTCTCCCATAGTGGATAATACCGATAATAAACACACCAAACACATGTGTCACGTACTCTTATACCTTGTAATTTAGTCATATTAATCATCATTAACTATAATAAATTAAAGATCTTCATTGATGTGAAAGGTATTGGTATGTGGGAGGAATGCTTGATCGTTGATGGAGTTAAGCTTCCTACTGGTTATTATTTTGGTATCACTGCTGCGACCGGTGATCTTTCGGGTTTGTTTATTTTGGATTTTTTAAGATTTTCTATCTTTCTTTTAAGTGCAGTTTGCTTTATGTGGGAATGTATTGTTGGAATGATTTTCAAACCGGAATCAAATTATTGTAAAAAAATATTTTTGTAGATAATCACGACATTATTTCCATAAAAATGTTCGAACAAGAGTTTGATCGCGGGTCAATTAATACTGATTTTGATTCTATTGAACCAGCAGCTGAATTTTCTGTTTCTCCACGTGACCATATAGATACACCTCGTCCATCGAAACTTGGATGGTTCGGTACTATACTATTGCTTATTATTGCAACAATCATAATTGTTTCTGTGTTAGGCTTCGGTATTGTTTTTATTCAACAGCGGCAAGAGCGTTTACGTAAACGCTTTTATTAATTGGGTAAAACACTTTTTCTGTGTCTATCATAGTAATGATATATTAAAGGGTTATTAAATTCATTTATAATATTTTTTTAGAAGTTAATTTAAAATATCCACCTTAGTCGTTAATTTATGAATGTAATAAGCTTTTTTGATGATTCTTCTTAGAAAAATTATCAGTTAGAACTTCTGAATTCTTTTATATACATCTATGATTTTTTCAGAAACTGTTGATAGTCATTAGCTAGTAGCAAAATATTTTAGCCCACAGTAGTCGGCTTTTCTGAAATATTCAAGTTTCTCATCGTTCATTTAGTCCATTTTTTTCTTTTATTTCTTTTATTTACTTTTCATGAAAGAATGGCGCTGTCTTTTATTTTCAAAATTATTTATTTATTTTTTCATTTAAAAAATCACAGTAATTGTTTAAATAGGACTTATTTATCATTTTTGTTAATGTTTTTCTTTAATGATTTTGTAAGATATTTATAGTTGTTATTTCGATTGAAAAAAAATTAACTTCTTATATTTGTCTTATATTTGTGCCTTTTTTTTCTTGTTTTTTTGTTCTTTCTTGTCACTATTTTCTGGTTCTCATAAAAAATTAAATTGAGAGTTTTATGGATTTATGAATAAATTTTTATACACGTTGTTGAGTCGGCATCGAGGGAAACCCAAATTTTTCTCGTTTTGTTTATCGCGTCTTTATGGCTTTCATAAGAATATCCCAAAAAAGTTCGGTGCTAGGTACTGACTATTGTTGGGAAGGCGGAACGAGAAATGTATAATTTTTAAATTTCAATTTTATTCAAATCGGCTTTTCATTGTTATTTGTGTTCAATCAGAAAGGGCATCGAGCTGAAATTCGCAAGAATTTCTTTAATTTCTTTTCTTCGAGTCATTTTCGATTTTTTTCTAAATCTTTATAGATTTTTTATAGAACATTATTTTAGTAATAAAATTGCAAGTTTGTTTGAAATAATTCAAATTTTGCCGAACAAATTTCAGCGATTATTTGTAGAGTTTTTAGAGTTTTTAATTTGGAAAAATTTCATTTTCACCGGATTTGTTAAATAATTAAGTTTGATAAAATTATGGTAAAACTCTTCGTGGATTCATTTCTAATGTGTTTTATATATGTGCGTTTCGTTTTTATTTGGTGTTGCATATATAATAAATATTGGGAACTACAGGGATTGAGCCGGGAAAACCCAAAATTTTCTCGTTTTGTTTGAGCGACGTGTTGATTCGGTTGGTGAGAAATCGTCGGTTCTTTGGTCGGATTAAAGAGCCGTTAAGAATGAAAAGCGAGTGGTTATGACGACGAGCTGCACCTAAGCAAGTGGTTCTATTCCGAAAATTAGCAAAATGCTAATGGAAGGCGAAGTTGTATCGGAATTTAAATAATGCTTGGAATAAGCCATATAGGGGAAAGAATAATCGATTGGCATATTTCCTCGATCAAGGTCGAGTTCGTGACGCTCGACGAGAAGTTACAGTTAGAGTGGATGATGCTGGGAACTCATCTCTGCCTCTGTCTTGAAGTGGCTCTTTACCAAAGAGATGCAACACATAAGTCAGAAATACAATTAGAAGAGAAAATCTTGCAAGCACACTGTTTGATATTTTCTATCGTTTTAAAATAATCTTAGCCTAACGTTTCCACTTATAAATCAATTTGCTTAAATAAATATGAAATTTTATCAAATAAATTTTCAGAGAAAATAAATAAATTAAGTGAATTATCGCCATCGGAAGAAATAAAACAATTTTTCCGATTTTTTATTTACGGTTGAAATTATTAATTATTATAAATTCTAAATTATTCATTGTATTTAAGAATATTTCCTGATTATTTTCAATCCACTTTACCATTTTCGGCGATATTTTTTCAATTTTTTTCCTAAAATTTATTTAAATATCGAAATTTGTCGAAATTTTTTTCCTCGCAATATTTATATTTTTTTCCTTCCGCTAACCAGCTATTGATCCAAATTTTCTTTTTTTTTATTTTTCCTTTTAAGGCTTTTCTATTCAATTGTTTTTTCTTATTTATTTAATGAAAAAACCGAAAAAAGCAAATTATTTTATTTGATTATTTGCTTTACCATTCTTTTTTCTAAAATCTATTGAATGAGCTTTCTGATTTTTCAATATTTTCTAATTTTTTTAGAATTTCTTATTTTTTTTCTCATTTAAATTAATAAAATTAATATTCTTTAATATTCCAATCGAAAAAATTATTTTTGATGGCAAATATCTGAATAGTCCATTTAAATTTAAACAACGAAATAATTGGAAGGGAGCAGCAAATCGGGTAGGTTCTCCTCAGTGTAGCTCCATCCTCAGGTGGTTCTCTGCTTTCTCATCGCAGTAGTCAGTGAAGTTAGGCAATTCGAAAATATCTGCTCTGTTCGAAAGAAAGGGAAAGGCCAAATTTATCAGTGATTTAAAAAAAAGATCAAAACTTAATTAAATGGTATTTTATTAATTTTCATGTTTTTCAATTGAAATAAATTTAATTTAATTAAATTTTATTTTTTTATTCGATTGTTGTAAAGTTGGTAGGAATTGCAATAATTTATTATCATAACTTTTAACAATTTATTATTTACTTATTTATTATTTACTTGCAGATGGGATTTTTCTTCTGAAAATTAGAAATTGAATTTCATTAAATAAACATTTTATTATTGTTATTGTTATTACTTTTATTAATAATGTTATTATTATTAATTGTTAATATTTAAATAATCGCTCGTTGGATATAACAAACACGGCGTAGCTCAATGCAATTTTTAAACCAAATATTTAATGCACATAAACTTTATTTAAAATTATTGATAATAATGGATATTTATTTTAATTCTGTCGATACTGTTGAATACTTATCATGTGGCAAATGTCATTTCACTAATAAATATTACTGTAATTCAGGTGAATCAAATTTCCTCTATTAAATTATTTTTTTAAGGCTTCAAAAAAACTAAATTATTTTATGGGATTAAGTTGAACTTTTAAAAAAATTCCGTAAAATAATTGAAGCACTTATGGTGAAATTTCAGATTTAATACTTTTTGAAAATCAGAGAGGCAATGTTGGTTTTGACTCGTTATCACTATTATCAGTGTTCTCACGGCGATGTAAATGTGAATCAAATTGGAAATTAAATTTTTGTGAAAATTTTTTGAAGCATAAGAAAAACCAATTCGACAAATCAAAGTTACCAAATATTTGTATTTGCAGGTAATGCAATAATTATTGAGGGAAATTCGTTGTGTTCACTAACATATTTGTAAACTCGATTACCAATATTTTAAAAAAAATTTTTGCGATTCGAAAACAGTTAAACTCTGAGCTAACAAAATGAGAACACGTTATATTAAAGAAATATTTTTAATAACAAACGAATGACATTACAATGGCGCGTCCATGGTTCAGTGGTGGAGTTCGAATCTGCAGCATCTTAGGGGTGGGAGTGTCTCCTAAAGGGGAAAACAAAGGAGAGCGGAATGGGCTCTGGGTTGTTGTTCATTTCGGGACGCCGATAATCTATTCCTAGTGGGAGTAAACCCGTCTAAAAATCCGGGTGGTGCTGGCGACTCACCTGTACTTCTATCGCCAAAGGACTGCCCGGCACATTTTTATAGCGCGAAAAGCCAGATGAGAAGCATTAGTGGTGAGTTATCTTAAAAAAACTGTTTAAATGGTAGCTTTTGAAAATTGAAACTTTCTTTAAAGATTTCGTTTGTCTTCTGAATCGTTAAAATTTGTACTGTTAGATAATTTTTTGGTTGTTCCGAATTTTAGATAGAATTTTTTAATTTTAATTTTTTCTAATTTTTTAAGAATGGTAGAAATTTAAAAAAGGTAAAGAAAATCGATGTTCTGAAAGACGTTCACTTTCCTTCCTCTCATTCTTCTTTTCATTCTTCTTTTCAGTTTCCTTTCGAATTATTATTTTAAGGCAAATTTATGATGGAGAAAACTGTCAGCAATTCATAACTCAGTGCTACGCTACAAAAATTCACTCTAAAGATAAGTTAGTTCGCTAGAAAAATTATTTTATTTTATTTTATTGGGCGATTTTTTGCAGTTCGCCCAACTTTCTGAATGCACTTCAATCAAATCAAATAATCAAAAATTTCAAATTATATGGAAAGAGTTCAGATGTTTTTGTTGTTTTAATCAACCATGGCCGTATTGTAATCAAATACAGTGCAATAATGGGCAACCAGATTTTGGCTCCAGTTCAAATGTAACATGTATCTGCCATCAGCCCGCTTTATATCCATATTATTTGTGTAAAGATGAAATGAACTCAAATTACGATTCAGCCTATCAGCCGCATTTAAATTTGGTTAGCTGTTCGATTTGTTTGAAATATTAAATTAATTTAAATTTTCAATTAAAAATATTTTTTATTTAAGATCAAATGTTTAAACCCGTCGAACATTAAAGTTTAACGATTCCTCGACCCTCACAGAAGTGAATTTGTTATTCACTTGTTAAAAATCCAGGTGGTGCTGGCGACCCATTTATGCCCCTATCGCTAACAAACAAAATCTCTGGCGAAAATTGTATATGTTTAATTATCGGCTTACATGGGCAATGAAAAGCTGAAGGCATTGATTGTTGGCGAAATAAATTGATCTATTATTATTGAATAAAATGATATCTCTTGGGAATATTGAGTGTTTTCCTCTTTGTGGTCATTGATCCAGAATTCCGTTGAAATTTGATTTTTTTATTTTGCTTTCCTTAAATTATCGGAATAATTCAGGCACATACTGAAACAGTTGTTTCGAAACAGAAGAAAAAAGCAATAAGCTTTGAAAAAGCTTTATCGATATTAAATGTTGAATTAACTCCATTTGTGGCTTGCGTATTTTTATTGTCATTGTTAAGCATCGTCATAATTATTACCGTTTTGTTAATAATCATTAGAAGTTATCGATTTCATCGGATAACTCAACGACGAAGGAGATTAAGACGTGAGGCTCAGTCTACGTTATTGAATCGACGAAGAGACGATGACGACAGATACCTTCCATGATCGCTTTTGCACCAACGATATTCGAAGCAAGTTGCATTATCCTCCACAATTCTTTACTTTCAAAACAATTTTAATAATCTGTCACCAACATCGATATGAACGAATTTCGGAATTAATTTTTTCTATGTATTTATTCATTAAAATAGAGATTTTCTGTCTGTTCTGGTTTTGTTTATATGATATTAATTTGCTTGTGTTTCCTTTTTGCTTTTGCGTAATAGTTAAATGTTATTTTTAAAATCCTTCAAATGCAGAAAATCAATCGAAAATTGCTTTATTCATAAATTTTAATTAGAGCGACAAATATAATTTAATGGTAGAAATAAAAAATAAATCCTTTGGATAATCATTTTTATTCATTAGTTTGCTTAAAATATTCAATAAATTCGAATAATTTGTAGATTTAACTGATAAAATTAGAAATCACTGAAATTTATCTTATTTGCTTATCAGTTTCACATTTTTTTAAAAAAATTGCTTTAAGTTTTAGGTTCCGATTTGAGAAATAAGCGGTTTAGATGAACGTTCTTAGAAAATATAAAAAATAAATGTATTAATGCGTCAAATAAAATATTTTCTAAAGTTATCATGAATTTCATTCAATGCACATATTTTCTGTAATAAAAGGGAAATCGGGGAAATGTGGGCGATTTAGACGAATGAGCGACCTTAGAAATTATAAAAGATTCAAATAATGGCAGAGTAAAGTTGAATATTACTCCACTATAAGGATTAATTTAATTTAATTTAAAATTTAAAAATTATACTTATTTGAATGAAGTAGATTTAAGGAATTTTTTTAAGAGGCGAATATCCTTTCACAAAAAGCAGAAGTTGGAGAATATGCTAAAATATAGGCATATGGCACCTGTCCGCACTGCAAGCTGACCTCAATAGAGTTTCCAACTTATTAATTCGAAAGGATCCGTTCTTCCTGATAAAGATCATCCGATCTTTATTAATTGACGACATAATTAGACGAGTCTCGAATGCATCAGATCTTAGATCTTAGCTTAATTGTGTATGAATATCTCTTGATTTCGGCCTTCACTGCAGAACCTTAGTAAAGAAATCCTCTAGATTACTGAATTTTATTTTTCGGTCGTTTAAGAATAGAAATCCAAGCTCCCTTATCAAAATATATAAAGCGTTTATTCGACCTCTTCTTGATTATTGACACAGATATCGCAAATCAAGTAAATTAATTGAAAGTCTCCAAAAATACTTTGTACACTGTCTCCCTTCAAATTCTAATCTCAGTTATAATGCGCAACTTCAGCTATGCAACTTAGATTCACTCTCAGTTGGTCGAATTAAATAAGATTTAATTATACATTACAAAATTTTATATGATTTTGTCAAATTAGATTGTTCAAAATACCATAATTTTAAAGATTAAATTTGAATCCAACAACAAAATCTTTTAAAAATTCAAATTATTAAAACTATTATTAAAATTATTAAAACCTAAATGCAATACTAAATTAAGAACATATGACTTGTTTAATCGCACCATTAATTGCTGGAATAAACCGGATGACACAATTTCTGCACCATCTTTGCCTATTTTAAAAAGAAGATTTAATATCATCCATGATATTGTTTAAAAGCTTTATATTATGTGGGAAGTTTAAAATCTTCAAATCTTTAAAATCGTTTATCCTACGGTTGGTTATCTATTGCTAATGCATTTAGTTTGACTTGGCACATTTCGTAGTTCCTCGTTTTTTGCATAGTTTTTCTTTATGTTGTTAGCTTTGGGTCATATCCCTTCTTTCACTTACATCGCAATCACTAATTCTTTTAATTTTATAGTTTATCTTGCTAATGGCCCCTACTTGATTGCTTGAATAAATAAATATGCTATATTTGCAATAAGTTGAACCCTATAGAAACTACTAAAAATAATAGATATAAGAGATAAGTAAAAGATGACTTGTTTAGTATATTAGAAATTTTAGAATATTAGAATATTATTTTAGAATAGAATATTAGAATATTAGTTTTAGAATAGAATATTAGAATTAGTTTTAGAATAGAATATTAGAATATTAGTTTTAGTAAATTTAAGGATGTTAGGTCATTTCAACCAAAATGAATAATCGAATTCACATGGATGAGCAAATTCCAAATCCTATTTAATAGACAACTAAGTTTAAAACTTCTCAATATTTTCATTATTTTGCTATTTAAAAGAAATTTTAAAAAATAATCGAATGCGTCGTTTTATTTTAATTTAATTTTACCACTCCTAATCGATATGGATTTCAACAGTAATTAGTTAGTAAATCAGTAAATCGGTAAAAATCAGTAGAATCAAAATTGAAGAAGAAATAGACGATAGGCAAAAATGTAAAGATTAGGAGACAAATAAACTTATGCTTTCGTGCGTTTGCTCGCCATATTCATTTTACTTATTTTTGTTGGAAAAATTCGCAGATAGAATCAAATTTTTTATTTCCAAAATTAAACAATTATTTAAAATGTAAAGCAAATTAAATACATTTACTACATCTATTACTAATTATTTAATATATAATCTAATTATTTATACTAATATGATTGATGACGATTTCTGTTTTACAAATATTTTTATTTCACTTTTCTAGCTTAAACAAATATTTCAAAAATATTATCGTTTTTTGAGGCGAATTTTTAAGTGGTGTTCTCTGAAAACAGCAAGTACATAGGCCATTAGTTTATAGATTTTAGTGAAACAAATCCACAAAAATGAAATTTAATAGAAAACGATAATGAATGAATAACGAAGTAATAATGTGTAATATTTTTGAGATGAATGATTTAATACTATCTGTTTATTTCTAAATTTTGTATTTTTTATTTTATTTTTAAAATATCACAACAAATCCAACGTTACAATAACGCTTCAAAGGAATTTCTCGACATAAAACGATTGATGAATTTGTCAGTTTATTATCTAATCAGCTATAAATACTATCACCAATATAACTGCTCAAGAAAAATTTCCTTTGGTTTCACAACCACCAACACAATTATATACATCTTATTAACCGTGCTATGGACAAGGTCCTCAATTATTTATAATCACCGAAAAAATGAATGAACAGAAAAGAAAGCATTCAAATAATAAACTACTACTAAATAGAAAGAAATTTTAATAGAATATTTCTGAATATTGCTTATATTCTGAATTCCTAAATTGTTCTCACAAAACTTGCCAAAATCTGTTTTATATTTACTAAGTGTTTTTTTTAAATGAATGAATGGAAAAAAATTAAAGATGAAATAATTCATTTGTCAAATCATTATTCGCTTGCTTATTAAAATGATAGAAAACTTTTCTTACAGCCAATCGACTCATTTATTTATTGAATGAAAATAAATAAATATTTAAAAAAATTCTGTACAAATTCTATGACTATTCAAATAGTAATGGTAAGAAAGTAATAAATAAGCCAGCTCGTCTCCTGTTAACTATTTCTACATCCAACTATAACCGACTACTAAACTATTTTACAAACATAATATCGCCTTTTTTATGCCTTTTCATTGGCAGTTATTCAGTTATTCGCTATTTATTATAGATGGAGAGACTCTGCAAAAAGAAAAAAAGAATTATTATGTGCAAAATTTCATAAATTTCATTGAAAGTATGTAGCAAACGACATAATATGGTTCAAATGAATTATTGATGAATCAATTTTCTGATAACTTTTCGCTTTCATTTGTAAAATGCCTGAAATAAATATTTTCATATTGCATTTCTCTAAATAATTTTATAGTCGACATATTTTGGAATTAGTTTTGGTTAATTTTTAGTTAATTTTGTCATAATGAAATCACTTTTTATTTGCCCTTTTCATGGTCATTTCATGCTCGTTGAATGAATAAATTGCCTTACCATTTTTTATGGAATATATAATCGCTACTGTTCGATATATTTACTGAATTTATTTTCCAAATGGAAGAAATCCTTTGACAGTTTCAAAAGCGCCCGAGACAACCGTTTTAGCTTTTTCAACTTGTTCTGTTAAGCCTAACTGGCCTATTATGCCTAAAAATTTATGATAAACTTGTTGAATTATGTTATGACATTTGCATTTTGAGAATTTCATTGTTTGTATTGTATTTCACAATATCATAGACAATCATAGATAATATTGGCTGTAAGAAAAGTTTTAAAAGTATCATTAAAACTTATTATCATCGTCGACATTCATTTCTTGCGCTAACTCTTCCGGTGTTTTCTTTCTCGATGATCCAATACGTCCATCAATTACGGCAACAGGAACACCATCTTCCTTTTTAGATATGTTATACTAAAATACTTTCCAATTTACCACTAAAGAAGAAAGCTTATGGTAATGGGAAACACATAATAAATCATATTTTCACAAATGATTCCAATAACACTTTTGTGATTTTTTATGCGAGATAAATAGTCTAAAACGTTGAAAGTGTTAAAGTAGCTCTCGAAAAAATAAATGAATCGGATGCTAAAAAGCAGTGAAAAAGCAATAGTAATAAATTAAAATTTCCCATAAAAGATAAGAAAAGTCTAAAAAAATTTTAATAAAAAAACTATTCTTTAGATTTATATAATAGTTTCTTATGCGCTACTAATTCATAATTGATAAAATGATAAATTTATTAATTCAGAAAAAGCATAATATTCTAATAAAAATTCTCCAGGAATTCAATTCACATTGCGATAAAAAATATGATTGGAATCAGGAAAAAAAAAAGAAAGCCAAATTTAGTTTACATTGCTTTATCGTCAATGTGTTGCTTTATTCGCCATCATTTGGAAAGGAAAAAAACTCGCCATTTATATCAGATCCATCATTTATCGCCAGATTAATACTACAGTAAAATTACTGATAGCGAAAAAAATTCAGACTCAATTTAATAAAATAACCATTCAAGAATTTTTATTTTATATTTGCTGTTGTTGGGCAATTCTATAAAAAATTCAGATTTGCTAATTTCTATAATTTTGTATATTTAAAAAAATTTGTGGGTAATTTGTCGACTAAAATTGAAAGAAATCGAACAAATACTATTTGAATTTTTTCAGATTTAACTCTCTAATTTAAACTGAAATAAATTAAAATTACCTACATTTTTCAAAGAAAACTCTAGCCAAAAAACGTTAAAAGTGTTTTCTGAATGTTCATTTATTATTTATTTTAAAAAATAGTTCCAAAGCGATCATCTTAAGTTTTGTTTGAAGCAGAGCGACATTTCCCCTCTTTGATTTACAATAAGCAAGTGGCTGGCACTCATCATTTTTGGTTAGACTCATTCTTCTGACTGTAAATACTGCTAGAAATTTTTACCAAGATTCAATTGGTGATTAGAAGCATAGTTGGGTCATCAGAACTATTCGGATTTTAAAACAACAGTTTACTGGTGTGGGAGAAGGGAAAGAGAAACAGAGGTCGAATACTTTCGACACGATAGGTTGAGCGATTATCCTACCTTATTCGAAAGCAAATTTTCCATTAAAAAAATGCGAGCCTTGGAACCAACTGAACTTCTATCCTCAAGTGAGTCACTGGAAAAAAATATTATAACAGCAGTCGGTGCAGCCGACTGAACAAATGGTTGGTTCGTGTTCTTAAAAGGACTTCCTTGTTGAAACTACCTTATTTCTGATATCTTGCCGCATTTTTTCTCGCTCTCTTTCCATTTTTCTGTGTTTTTCTTTTCTTCGTTCCTCTTGTTCAAGTCGTGCAGCAACTACCTGTGAGTTTTCTTTAATTATTAATTCTTAAGATTTAGAAGAGAAAACTTAATTCGACTTTGAGAACTGTTCAGTACAACTTTTTTAAAGCTCAAATTTTCGTGATAATTGATTAAAAATGAAAGTTATTTCACGGCAAACTAATTTAAAATGATTGCATTTCACTTATACTGAATCAGAGAAATTTCTCTTAAGAGAAATTTTTTTAAAAAAATTTCCTCACGCAATAATTAATTGCAAAAAGAAAAGAAAAGGTGTGGTAGTGAACTGCAGAACAAAAAGCAAAAAAGGTAATTAAAATATAATAGAATAATGGAATACCTCTGGATCTTCGCCTGATTCTGTTTTCTCACCCCCATCACCTTCATTATCTCCGGTTAATTTATCAAGACCGCCTGAAAATTGTACGAATTAAATTCTATTTTACAACAAATCTCATTCCTCAATTATATTTATATTAAGCAGTCAGTCAGCAAATCATTTCACGTAGAATGTATAGTAAATTATGTATCCAATGTTTATTTATCAAAAGGATAATTTAATTCATATGTATCAATAAATTTATATGTATCAATGAAATCAACTAAAAAATGAAATTTCTAATTGAATTAGTGAAAATTTAATCAAATTTAGAAATGTAGTAGTCAACATAGATTTGCTCTTGATTTCAACCATTATAATTCAATGATTACAGGAGGCGAAAAAAATGGCAAAAACTCAACGAATCTTGTTTGTGCGTTTTTGGATGAAGAAATTTCTGTCCAGTTACATCTCGGAAAACTACACCGAAAGATTTTAAGCTTTTGAATAACAGCAGATGCCGAGTTTCAAATAAATTATGAGCATTGTTGACAGTTTAGTTTCCTACCACAACGAATATGTTGGATTCTAAATTCTGCTTGTCCAATAAGAGTGGGTCCAGGACATTTGAAAGTCCTCTTTAACCAATAGTGTATTTATGGATATAAACAGCTAGATATGTGAATATTTTTGTCAGCATCTTATTTACATTAATTTATGGTTTGTTTATTTCTAAGCATTTCTAAATATTCTAGCATCGTAATTCTCCATAAGTATTAGCGAAATGGTTCGGAATGCACTTCCAGTTATGCTTCGGATAATGTATAATGCATTATAGCTATGCAATATAGCTATGCAATATGTATACATCATAAATTTAGCCTTAAAGAGCTTTCTTTCTCTGTCTTTCTGCCCGTACTTTTTGAAAATCCAAATATATTCTTCTTAGTTAGAATGTTTGTTCGGCAATTAAGTATTTTTTTTGCACTGATAGTGTTATCCGAATTTTGATTCATAATAATCTTGATCTTGATAATCTTGAAATTTGCATCAACAGCGAAGTCGAAATGGTACTGGTCACACACCAGTACTTCCAATTCCAACTGATCCTTTGAAGAAAGAAGGCTTAATCTAGCAAACAGTGGAGTCAACCAAAAAAGAAATGGAAAAATGGTTATTGGAAGAACAAAATATGTGCTAATGTACAATGAGAAATCTGACAGCAACCTCGAAAAAGGGAAATTGAAAAATTTTTGCCGAGATTTTTGCTTTCATATTTCATTTCGAAAAAAAATAAAAAGATAATGTGGCATAATACTAATTCGCAGGCAAATTATCGCTCAGCTCCTTCCATAAATATTTATCCATTGCTTAATTTATAGAAAAACAAAGATGGATAACAATGTTAGCAAAATTGCAGAATTGTATGTTAGAAATGGTTCAGTTTAAAATGCGATTAGAAGAATAGATTCTTTAACAATTTTTTTATCCCATATGATAGACAGGTAAATGGTACTTCAGTAAAATTGTAATATAATTGCAACTGTAAAATATAAAACCTCAAAAAATTAGGGAAACGTCATGCGAAAAAAAAATAGGAAAATCAAATGGTCGCATGTGATCTAAAACCATTTTCGATTTACCAAAGTTTTGTTATTTTCGCGTAAAACTTTAGAATTAATATTTTGCACCTCTAATTTCAATAAGAATCCAAAAAGCTGCTGTATAAATTCTTATAAAAAATTTGATGCAAGGTTTTCAGCCATCATTATGTTAATTCTAATTTGAGGACCAAATTTTTTCGATAAGAAATTTAACCTCATGCATTTCTTATTTATTTGGTAATAATATTATAAAAGATACGAAAATACCAGAGAAAAGTAACGTAACGCATTCTGGGATTTTACCCAACAAAAAAGTTTCTTATTAAAAAAATCTTAGAAATGTTTTAAATAAGAAATTTTGCAAAAATTAAAATAATAATTGATATAATTTATTACCGATGATTTTCGAACTACCCACAGAAAACAAAAATAAAATAGAACTGTACCAGGATTTTCTAGGAATAAAATAGAGTAATTCAAAGCATTATTATTTATTTATTAGCAAAGATCAAACAGGTTCATTTCCCAAGTAAAATATTAATTCAATCGAACGATGTTATAATGGAAATTTCGAAGAAAATTTAGCAATTAACTAATAAATTCGCTCGACATAGATTTTAAATGTACGAATAAAAAATGGAATGAATTAATAAAAGTAACCGGAAAGAGGATTTCCTCCGAAAATAGAGCCAATAACCTTATTCATATTTTCTTTCCTTTTAGCTATGCTATAAATATATGGAATAAATAAATAAGAAAGAGAGACTAGAAAGTTTTTCTTGCGAAAAGAAAATAAATTGCTTCGAGCGAGTGCCACGCCTAAATTGCTCTCAAACAAATCCTGGTTTCGCTTTATTCCCAATAAAATCTAAGCCTAAACCTAGGCCCAATTATTTCTTTTGAACCAAATTTTTAATAAAATGAATTTTAAAAAAATTTCAACTTTCTCAGCATGAGCAAATAATAAATGTTTCCATTTATAGATTACATATTAAATGTTATTCATTAAATTAAATAATTCATTAAATGAAGTGAAGAAACATTAATCTATGAAAAACTAATTTAAAAATCTTCATAAATAAATGCAAAATACAATTAATTTAAGAAGATGAGAATATTTTGATAAATTTTAAAAAGCTTTTGAAATTTATTTTGAAATTTCGAAAAAATCAGAATTCTAGGATACGTTCATTAACATTCAGCTTTTCTAAAATCATCACACCCCTACATATTATTTATATTCATCCTTTGTTTATTGTTATATTCATTGTTTATGGCGATTTTTATGAGATTTAGCTCGATGGAAACGTAGGTGGCGAAGGCTTCGAACGTGGCATTTTATTTTTCCTCGGTTCCTTTAGATGACACCATAAAAATCCGTAGGCTAACAATGTGAAATTTTCAAGCTTAAAATTTTAAAATACTATCAATAAAATTTCGCCACTTAAGAATTTTTAATAAGTAAACTTCAAAAATTATTTGTTCCCATTCAAACAAAACAAGAATATATATAAATCAAATTGAACTCCTATGCACCTATTTCCATGAATCTTAGATGGTCAAAGAGGCCAATTCAGTGGACTGGCTTATTAGCTTATTTTTTTTCGTTATGTCTTGAAATCTGTAGTACTTACATAATTTTCTTTTCTAACAATGAATATTCAAAGAAAATGGTTTAATTCGTTCAAAAGAAGAAAAAAGCAAGAATTGCGAATCATTCCGTCAATAGTTTATTGTAATAAATCCAAATCAATCCACCAACCTTTCATTTCATTAAGTTTCCCACCAACGACTTGTTTCATAACAAAACTTGCCATTTTTTCTTGAAAAGCCAATCTGAAAGTATAAAATAAAATATTTAAAAAAAAAAAAAATGAATGGCGACAATAAAAAGTTTTATGGCTAATCAAAGGAATTAAAAAGGAATACGAATTAATTTCCAAAAATTTAATGTCTAAAATTAATTATTCCTCTGATTTTGAATGCTCCTTAAATTATTTTCTTAAGGTTTAAAGAAAAGAATGAAATTTGTTAATGAAATAGATTTTAATAAATTTAATTTATTTCCAGTTTATTTGCTTGCATTTTTCATTTAAAATTGCCACTGTGACCAATTAATTTATGTGAATGTGTCACTTATTTTTGTAATATGGCCAATGAAATACTGAAAAAAGCGGTCAAGAATAATATCAAATCGGCAAAAGAAAAGCGATTCAATTTTTTCTGATTTCTATGAATAGGAAATGGCGAAAAAATGGCGAAATGGCGAAAATCTTGGTAGTTTTATTTATTAACGAATATTCCTATGATTTTGGATAAAAAATTTGCTTTGAAAATTGAATAAATAGCTGATTAAAATAATAATAAAACTACTTGAGAAAATTTAAAAATTCATTTTGAATAGTTTTTCACGAATTCTATTGTTTGCAATTTTTGTTTTTTAAAAATAAACTTTAATCAGATGAAATTCATTTGCCTAATATAACAACTAAAAAACAATCTATTTATTTTTAGTTATTTGACAATCTATCATTTATTATTCGTAAAAAACAATAAAAGAGAAAAGTTCTTTTATTTTTAAACTATTTATAATTAAAAAATTTTTCTCGTTATTATAATAATGCATTCTAATGAAATAAAAAATGCACATTAAAAGCAGAAATAATGATAAATTTTAAATGAAAATTTCCGATTTATTCGGATAAATTTTTGAAAATAAAATGTCTTAGAGAATTATTTATTATTTACGTTCAGCAGTCAGTTTTCATGATGATTTTTTATCAATTTTTTCGCATTTAATGAACAAATTAAAAAAATATTATAAATCGAGACGAGCAAAAGCTGAAAGAAAAATGTAATCGACATAGATTCCCACGCAAAGAAATTAAATTCGCAAAAATATATAAAATATATAAGCGAATAGTTAGGAAATGCTATTGTGTTGCACATTTGAACCAAAAATTTGTGAAAAATATTTTTTTTGTTAATTTTTTGTTAATAAGAATAAAAATTTTGAATCATAAAGTAAAAGTAGTACTTATATGTTAGGTAATTCTAAAAGTCACCGCAGTTTTATAAGACTTTGATAGACTTTGATCTTTGATATTTTCGCAAAAAATTAATTTTTTTGTCTCACATAATTGCATTCGCCCTCGCTCCAATATTTTCGGCATTAATGACATTGTCACAAAGTATCGCATGCACTGGTTAGGTCCACTCATTATAGAAGCATAAAAGTCTGGAAATTGCCCCATATAATTATTAGCTAAAAGCACTATGATGGATGGTACCAGAGCGAGGAGGGCCAGTCATGATGCAATACGATGGAAAAGACCTGGCCTCAGTTATTTTCAAACATTGCATAATGACACACACAAGGAGATTTGGAAATATCTCACCACGGAGGCCCAGCGGAGTCAGATAAATTAGCAATTGTAAAAGAAGAAAGAAGAATTATACATTAACTAAATTTGCTAACATCTCCCTTTTATTGCAACGAACAATGCTAATCTTTTTTTAAATTTATCACTAATTTATTAGTCCATTTTTCTAAAATTTTTTTTAAATTCTTACGATTTATTCAACAAAAAAAAAGTTAATTTATATCACAAGTGAATAAAAAAAACGATTACGTTAATTATTTCAATGAATATCAAAGTTACTGCGGTTCCGTCAATGAGATTAAAATATTAGATATTTATTACGTCTCGAATAAATTTGAATGACCCTCAGCTGGTCCCGATAATATTCCAGAAATATATGTAAAAAGTGCCTAGTCTACTTAAGCTTTTCTCTAGCTTATAAGAGTATGAAATATGGTCTAAATCTAAAAATCTGGAAATTGCCCCATATAGTTCCCATTAAAGGAAACACCTATGATCTTTCCACTACAGGCCTATTAGCCAAACATGCAATGCTATACTGAAAAAACCAATTCGAAAAAAATCGCTTCGCTACGTTAATGCCAGTAATTTAATATTCTCTTATCAATATGGCTTATGCACGGAGAAACCCACTATTTTAGAAATATTAGCTAATCTTTTTAATATCACCTGGTAATGGGAAAATAGTATCAACCGCCTATCTAGATCTGGCTATTTCATATGCTTTCCCATAATAAATTGCTAATCATCATTAATGGCATTAAAAGGGCCTTGCATACCTAAATATGACAATATTTAAGACACCGGTACCAAGCTGTCGCTCTGATTAAACCAGTCATACCTCAAGACAGTTATATGAACCGTTATTTTTAGTTATTTATATTAATGATATTAATGATATCACAATGCATGTGCAAAGATATGTCAATTTATACCATTTTTCTCTACATTGATAAAGTAATGTAATTTATTATTTTTATGGTAAAATTTATGGTAATTTTTATGGACAATCTGTCACAACTGGTTATATGAACAAATTAGCACTTCCTATTCAAAAATTTGGCATATTAAATTTAGCGATAAATTCGAAAAGATTCCTTCTTTCTCATCTTTTTATTAATACTAATATAATCAGACTTGTATTGCTATCAGACTTTTATCAGAATAATGAAAATCTCGATTTCGACCTCCACTTTAAAACAATAGTAAAGAAAATTTCAAGAAAATAAAATTTTATTTTTCGGCCATTTAAAAATAGAACTAAAAAATTTTGTTATTAAAGTATATATTTATATATTGCAGAGCGTTCGTTCGGTTCCTTGTTCCTTTTTGAGTATAATACAAACGGCTCCCTTAAATGCCGCAAATCAAGTAAATCAGTTGGAGTACTCCAGAAATACTTTGCAAATCTTCTCTTCTAATAGTAATCTTAATTTTAAAGCATAACTTCAATTAAATAACCTGGACCTCCTCTCATTTCATTAAATTAGGCAAGATTTACCTTATATTTATAAAATTCTACATGATATCAAATTTGATTGTTCAAAATATAATTTTAAGTTAAATTTAAACCCAAATGCAAACTAAAATAAGAACTCATGACTTATTCGTACCATTAATTACTGAAATGCGCTGTCGAACCTATTTAAAAGAAAAAAAATTATATAAGATCATCCATGATATTGTTTAAAAACTTCGCATTAAGCTGAAAGTTTTTCATTATGCGATTATATCATATTTCATATGTAAGGAAAAATGAGAATAAGAATAAAGAAGCTCATTCCTACAATCCATTATCAAATTATGAGTGGACTATCAATTAGTAGTACCTTATTCCTTCGCCAAATGAACCAATCTGAATTTGAATTTTCTATTTCATGAATTAATTTCTACCGTAGAAGAAATGGCAATTTCCAACATTAAATCACATTTTTATCGCAACTTTAGCTCACTTACCATATTCTCAAGAGTTTTCACCAATAACCTTTTATTATTCCGTTTTCTCGACAAATTCCTCAAAGGAAAATGCCATTGATAATAGGAAAACATGATTTTTTAACATAAATAACATCTAACCGCAAGAAATTTCTGAGGGACAAAATATCTATATATCTATTATCTCATTAATATTTACATGGACCTTAGGATTATGGCACTCACAAGTAAAATAAATGGAACTGCAACAAGCGTTTATATTCTTTGTTATTGGAGGGAGCATAGCTACTGCTTAAACTATAATCTTGAAACCATCAAGGCTGTTATTAAAAAATCTGAGCGGTGGTTTCAAATTACCTGTAATTCCTCAAATGATTCACTGACAAAAATTCTTAATCATGCTGACAATCAGTGCAAAGGATCTAATCAAAAATGGAAGCAATGATCATATTTAATTAATCGCTATTATCAAGATTATAAAAAATAAAAATACAAAAAAGTTAATTTGATAGAAACATTATCAAACTGCCGTCGATGCTAATAGTTCTAACAAAAGAATTCATTACACTACTGTTTTAAATTGGAATGAAAAACAGTTTTTATTATACAACGAACAGCAAACAAACAGCAACGAATTTAATAAATTTATTGATAAAAAAGTGCTTTTTACATATATTCTTAAATGATCTATGGAAAGATATGAAATGGTTAATTTCTAGGAAAAACATTTATTTTAATTCGAACAGCTTGGAGACATCTTATCCTTGTAGTTAGTGGAGCTAGGCTAATCAATAATAGTGAGGGCTGCCAAAGGAAGAAGATTAATCCTAAACTATGGATTTTTTAATAGGAAACATGCAAAAATTAATGTAAGCATGGATTGACATGGATATGCATAAAATTAAGTGCAAAAATGCATTTTATAAATTTTATTCACTAATAATCTATGAATGGAATGGAATATTACGAGAAAAGCGATTTATAGCGAAAAAAAATGAAATCCTATCGAATATTATTGAAAGAGGGAAGTTTGCTGTCGAAAACCTCACGACTGATGCGAACGCCTCATTCTTTCTCTTCATGGGACGGAAGAAACACGAAGAATATTGAAGAAAATAAAATATGGAGATTTCGAACAATTCATCGTTGTATGCACCGCAATGCCCAACCAATAAATGGAAATCAATATAATGAATTCCTCGAGCATATATATATATAAGTATTAATTTTTACTTCCAACGATCGATAAAGTAAAAGAAGTATGAAGTGAAAGTCATTAAGGACTAAAGATAAAGTCTGAATATATTCGAACAGAAAGGAAGTAATTCGGCGCCATGTTCATGATCCTTCTCGATTCGTTTTTAGTGGTTGCCATGTGGACTATCTCCCTCATCTCCTTTTTATGTGTTCTTAAAAATCTAAGAAATTTTGCAATGGTGTGGTGATCCTCATCTCGCCATAGATTGCATTCCTCAATTTTCCATTTGTTATTCTCAGCACTATCTCTCTTTCTAGTGAATTATTTCCGCCAATATATGACCAAAGTAGAGTCAGTTGAAATATTTCGTAGCAGCACAGTTGAAAAAAAACCCAATTTAAAATTTATTGTTAATTTTATTTCTGTAAATTTATATATTTTATAAAATATATTTTATAAAAAATTTCTAAAGCAAAGATCACCCTGATTAATTGAATTAAAATAAAAAACTAAGTGACTAATGCTCACTCACTTTTCCTAGATAAGTTCGCTCCATTGTTGGTATAGTGAGAAATTTTTGCCATGGAGCCACTCGGCAACAGAAATAGAGGTGAGTCGACAGCATTCCTTCGATTTTTTAATGATAATAGATTGCTTCTGTCGGAGGTAAGATATGAATTCCTGACTCTCAAGACGATGACTGAGCAACTAACTACTAGTCATCCTACCAATTAAAAATGAAACATCACAAGTTTCGTTCATCATTTCGGATTACGATACTTCGCTAGAGGCATCCACAACAGCACTGAAAGTATGAGAAATCGCTTTAGCATTACCAGGGTGATGGGTTTTCAGTTCACCAATAATAACAGGTTTATATTTATAGGTATATGTAAAGAAATCAGGGCATAAAACCATTCGTTGTTGCTGTAAAACAAAAAAAGAATTACTATTTATGAGAGCCTTGATACGTAATGTAAAGGTACCATTATTATAAATAAAAGTCCATTATGAACCATTCAGCCAAAAGACTCCAAAACTTCGTTCCGTTCTGGTAGATTTTTAAAATTTTTTTAAAATTTCTTCAAAGCTGAAAAGAATTCCACTCGAAATGAAGCAAAGTAGTGAAGTTACAAATGATAGAATAATACGGAAATTTTTAAATTTTGAATATTCTTGAACGAATATTTATTAAAAAAAAAATTATATTCTTCGAAAAATTTATAAATTTTATTTTGATAAATATTTAAAATATAACGAAAGATTGTTGAAAAGGTAGTTATAAATATTATTTTGGACACTAATAATTATCATTTCAATGAAATATTAAAGAAATATTTCAATAATTGATATCTGATCAATCCACAATGACTGAAACTTCGGCGGTACACAATCAGCTTTTTTTTTGAAGTGCTCCCTTAAACGTTTTAATATTTTCATAGAAATCTCGCTCTCAACATTGTTCACTTCTTCAGCTTCATCATATACATATCTTGACCAAGACTTACTGCAATTAATTGAAAATATATTTCAAAAAACTAGCAACAAAGAAGGTCATTTATTAATTGTCACTTATTAATGATCACAAATTCTTTAATTTTTTTAGATGACATTTTAAGTGATTTTCTCACTTATCAGATTATATCAGACTATATAACAGCAAGCGTCGTAGCAAAGAAAGGTTTATTTGTTGCTCGTTTTTCAAGCGATTTCAAATTATTTAACCTTGTAAAACAATGAGGAAAAGAAAAGTGCACTTACAGCTCATTGATTGATAATTTTAAAATTCGAATGTTTGATTTGAATCCAAAATTTGGTGATATATCACTTGCATACAAAGTGCTATAAAGCGAAGTCATTATTATAATAATTATTATTGTTAAGATATAATCTGGAGAGATTGTTACGAATATTTAAGATTAAACAAGATTAAATATGCAACAGTAAATAAAAAATACAACATAAATATAAATATAATATAAATATAAATATAACAACAAAGCAAATTAGAATACCACGGTATATTTGCATTTTTTATTGTGCGTATATGCAGATCGCTAACTTCTACTCCAACTTCTTTCGCAAGAGCGATAAATAAATCTGCAAATCAATTATGCATAAATTTGTTTAAATTTATTTATTAATCAGTAATTATTAAATTAAAGAATAAAATCCGCGCAAATAAGCACAAATATTTAATTTAGCATGCGAATTAGTAAGGAGCCAATAAGTAAAAGGTGACGACCGATTCAAAATTTTTTCGAAAATAATCACATTCGGATCGACTGACCATGACTAATATTAACTTTGTTACATATATTATTTGGTAATGTAAAACCATATTCCATCCACAAGACATCATTTGAGTGAGCACCGTAGCAAAGAAATATTTGTTTCTTATTCGCTATTAATTTGCAACTTATTATTTTATAACGCTGAGCGATGCTATCCCAGCAGGCATACGCCTAAACTTTCACATCGTTTTACATTATATATAATTTCAAATATTATTAGAAAAAAAATTTTTGCATTAAAATTCATCTGAAAATAGTATTGGCCTCTAATATATTGAACCGTTGACCAAAAATACTAAATAAATTGATTTCAGTTAAATTTAATTATTGGAACGAACATTACAATCATTACTGTGATTGAACATATCAACAAAAGGAATAACAGCCAACGAATTTCCTTCTTCACCATCGATGGATGCATGAGGTTTATCGAAGGCTGAGAAAATGGATCTCGTATTAACTATGTGCCATGCCCAGAAAAACCTCTCCCATGTCATCGAATCACATATTAAAGAGAGCTGAAAGATAAATTATATATATTATATATATAAATTATTATATAAATTATATATATAAATTATATTTATTCATCCTCAACTAATTTAAGAAACGATTACGATATAACGAATTATGTGGAGCGCTTGCCGGCATCTTTATTATATCGTAAGGTCATAAGGTCTTCTATTCTTTATAGTTTGTTGAAATCAAAGTTTGGCGGCCTTATGTTCGATCCTCCCATACTGTTTCCTTGCGCACTTTGTGCTCGGTTATTAATTTAACTCTTCTTACTTATTGTTTATATTTAATAAACAATATAAAGCATAATTATAATCTGTGGTGCTTGCAGTAAATTGTAATTGTATATTAACTTTTACAAAGTTTTGTGACTATGGCAAGTGCGATCAGATACACGATAGAATTAAGAAAGTTTACTTTGAAAAAAGGCACTAGAAAAATAATACTTCATCAATATTCTGCAGATGGTAATGAATGGAAGCACTTGGCTAGGCAATAAGAAGGCAAAGGAGATGCCAAGGAGAATACTCATAATTTCATAAAAAACCTTTTTGCTATCGCTGAATAAAAATGAAGCCTTACCTTATACTTTGGATGACTGTTTGGATGAAATGATTTTTGAAAATCTACACGACCGTCGACATCTGCATAGATGGTTGAAAAAAAACTGTGAAACTTCAAAAAGAAACAATGAAGAATTTGTTCGTCTTTTCAATCAAATATGAAACCAGTTTTGGGCAAAATATGTCAACAAAGGAAAAAAATAGAAATCTCAAAATTCGATAATGAATCCAAGGATGCCAAAGTATTGATGTTTTTATATGATAAAGCTTGTAAAATCAACAAATGGATTAACCAATGGATTGGATTGAAATAGATTAATCTTGGATGAATCCAAGATTAATCAACTCAAAGAATCTTGATGCACTGCTTCTTCTTCTTCTAACAGCTCTCACCATCACTGGTTAGGCTGACTCCGGTGATTACAAGGGTAAGACGTTTCTAAACTGCGCGATCTGATGCCGCCGTCGACAGTAATAGAATCAATTTTTTCCATCGTTTAAATCCATATATTGCTGGCCCATCTGTGCTTTCAAAATTTTGACTCCGACGGTATCAATCCAGGTCTTGGTTGTTTCACCTCATTTTTGATGCCACTACAGGGTTTAGCAACCAATGAAATTAGTTCTTGTGGTGGACGAAGAAGAAAGATGGTAATATAAATGCAAATGGTTGTGAAATTTTGTCCATTCGGCAAACCCGTAAAATATCATATCCCATTTAACCCTTCACATTTCATTTAATGTTAATTATGTCACATTCATTTCATTTCTCGACATCGTTTTCGGATCTCACTATATCTACTAGCGTCCCTCAAATGTCTAGCAAATTTCCTTTAATGCTCTAAAAGACCTCACTGTACCACAATCCTTATTATTTATTGATAACCAACCAAGCAGGGCGACAAGGCCATGTGCTTGTATTAATAATAACAATTAAGATAACAGAAAAAGAAAACACAAAACAACAAAAAAAAAATATATAACATAAACAAAATTAATTATAAAACAATATGACAGAAATTAACAATTTAAAGAGGAAATTACAGATCAATATAATATACTACAATTCGAGG